TACATCAACCGCATCTTGTTCCAACTGACCTTGTCAATTGAACACCATCTTCCACTGGGATGTTGGGTAATCGTCGGTCATCCACCACCTCCTCCACTGCCGGCTACCGCTCCGTCAACGAATGTCATCGGCGCTGTCTTCCTTCTGGTAATATCTTTCTTCGTATGGTTCATCTTTCTCCGCTAAAACCTATGAGTGATTGAGTGAGAAGGTCCTCAAGGTGAACCTCTCATTGTTAAACGTTGGATTATGTTATGTGTACTTAGCATTTACTCTTATCTTGAACTTTGATTGAATTGTTTGGTTAATCACAATCACACTTCTTTGGCCTAAGCAAGTTGACTGCTTTAGATTCTTAGTTCTCTTTTATGTGCAAGCAATAAATTTTCATTGGCAAAGTTTTCTTCGATTGTTCCTTTTAATTTCGCACGTAACTCCTAGTAGTTTCACATCATATTTATTTTATTTGATGTCTCTCCTTTTGTCTTTGTATGTGGTGGAACAAATTATATTTGTGCTAGTTTAGTGGCAAGGTTTTCAAAAAATCCATAATTTTGGGCATCTGTTCCATCATTATAGACATCTAATTAGTCGTATTTTTGGCCATCTATTCTTTCATGCTGAAAAGAATTTCAAATGTTTGTAATCTCTCATTATAGTTGTAGATCTCATGCTCCACAAAAATTACCAAGGGTATCATTCCCAATCCTTAATTTAAGCATTAAAACCTTTTCTTTCTGGTAGAGACTATGTTCTGATATTAAAATATTATCCAAAATTGGTGTGCGGAAAGCTTATGAAAATGGTAGGAAATTTTTAAGACATAACGGATTGCGATTAGATGGAATAATTTTAAGGATAATGAACCTTTCCCTGCTTCTCAGTTTTAAACATTCAATATCCACTATTTTGGGTTATAAAGAGAAGAGGGAAGTTGGTGCCAGTTGGAAACACCAATCTAACTATTGGATAGAGGGAGTGATGGCTGGATGAGCTACTGTATGAGCTCAATTGCAAGAGGGGAAAAGTTTAGTCATTAGCAGAGAAGAATTCGACTGTTGAAGGCATAGGAGCCAATGAAACAGAGAAGAATAGAGAGGGAGGATAGAAACTCTAGGAGACTAGTAATAAACTTCCATTTAATTAAAATTTGATTTTAGGTTATAAAATTTATCTCTATGTATATAGATTCAAGAAAAATCTTGAAATCTATTAAAATTCAAAGAAAACTAGAAAATATGAACTAAACTATATAGTTAAACTATTCTTATATTCTCTCTTAAAGAAGTGGTCTCCCTTAAGATAAGGAGCAGAAATTGATTGAGAGAATATTGAGTAGTTTAATTGATTCTTTCCACATAAATCTCTTTCATTAGTAGGAATATAGTGTTGAAATTTAACAATAAGTACATCATGAATTTATATTTGCAAATTATAATTTCAATGATATTTTTGCAAACACTTTTGAGAGCCTTCTATATCTCATTTATTGATATTGTCATGTGGCCTGTCATTAATTTGATCTCTTAGCTTCTTCTTTAGTATTCTCTTGAATTCCATCTTAAGTGTTTAGAACAGCTTCCACAAACTTCAGTGTTTTTATAGCTCCGAATAAGTGTTGTTATGTGATTACTTCCTCTCTTTATAATTTTGGCATAGAAAATACATTTAACACAATTGATATCAATTTTCTTTGCCAATATATCTAAAATTTTCTTAGTACTTCTAAATCCAATAATTTTCTATTTTTGTAGCTAATTAATGGAGCAAGATAGCTTAATACTATTATTAAATAAGAAGATTGAAAGTGTTATCAATTGATCAAACTACACAAAGCAAGCAACAAATCTAAGTAAATTAAAGGTAGAAAATGCATAACAATCACATGAAGGAATGAGCATAAATAATTACTGGATAAATGATGGAATGCACATGCATCATTGCAAGATGATGCCATTGATAAGGGAAAGGAAAAGGAATAGTAAAAGGAAAAAGGAGTTCTTATTGTTAGCTTATGGATCTTCTTCATTGTTTGTCAAGGTCTCTTGATTCCCTCTATGATGAGGATATCAGATTTCGACACGTGTACCGTCGTCGGAGATGCAGATCGATGACTACGATCCAGAGTCTTTATTTTTTATTTATTTTGTATTTTATTTGTTCTCGCATTTTATTTTTCTAGTTTACCCCTGTGGGTATTGAGTAGCTATTGTAGACCTGAGGGCATTTGTGTCTTTCCAGTTTTGCTTCATTTTGGCCTATTTATAGGAGGCCTCTTGCATTGTACTAGTTGATGAATGATGAATGAAATTTCTCTACTTTCTTACATGATCTTTTGGTGAGTTCTTGAGAGGAGCAACCCTTAGTGGGTGAGAGCAATACCCGTCAATCTTGGTGGATTTCAAGGTTCGTGGTTCTTCAATTTTTCTTTTATTTTATTTTTCTTGTGTCAAATTCCCTCCTTTAAACTTCCCACCCGTCGGCCTCACCCCCCAAAGACTTTCTTTGTATTTTTCTTCTAACCCGAGCCCTCCCCTTGCCGCCGGCTTCCTTGGGCCACCCGAGCCGCCGCCCACCACCCACCCGATCGCCGAGCCCTCCCCTGTCCTCCCCTCTCCCCTCATCTAGCCACCGGCCCACCTCCCGAGCCCTTAAATTTGAAATTCAAATTTCAAATAGCCATTTACTCAATTCACTAAAATAAATTTGGTCAATATGGAAAGTTTCTTATCGTGAATTCAATTATAAATTTGATTTCAAATAGTTTTCTATTGTCTAAATCTATGATAGGAAACTTACCTATTTGATTTAAATCCGATTTAAATTTCAGATTTTTAATTACTCAATTAAATCCTTGGGGCCCACTCACTTAAACCCAATACCTCTCCCCCTCTCTCTATTTGGCTGGCATCTATTCCCACCCCCTCTCTCTCCTATCTCATTAATTGCCACCAATTAACTCCCCATAATCCCCTCTTAACCGCCGGCCCCCCTTTATGGGATTAATTTGAATTTCAAATTAATTCCCTCCAATTCTACTTAACTTGAAATCTAATTTCAGATTTCTAATCATCACACCAAATCCCCACCTAGCCCAAGCCGCCCCCTTCTCCCCTTCCTCCCACCCGAACCCCTCCTCCTTCCTTTTCTCCTTGGCTGATTCCCCCCAATTGACGGCTCCTCCTCCACAATGTTACTACACACGGTAAGGATCTCCCATGGTCATGTATGGTCGATCCAGAGCGTGACCACGGATTTGTGCCCGACTATCAAGGGGATATCGACGTCATACGATCGCCGTTCTTCGACGTTGGATTCGGATTCGACCACACCGTCGAGGATTACTTAAACCGTATTCTTCCCCACCTCGTGGACGTCCTCGACGAGCAACTACCGACAGACGAGTGGACAATCACAGGAAGCCCACCCACTTCCCCAACTTCGGCTCCTTCCCCGGCGACTAGTCCCCTCTGCATCACTTGTTTATTAGTGAGTAGTGACATCCTTAAGTTTATGTGCAATCCTCTTCCGCTAAGCCGAGTGACATCAAGAGTGTATGTAAGGGACTCCGAGGTGAATGATCTAGATCTTAAACCGTGGATTTTTTTAAGTGTCATTTGCTTTATTATTTATTTGTTGGTGTAATTTTGCTAGTCTCCTGTTGCTTTTAATTGTAATCAATTGACATCACTTAGTTCCTCCGTGGAAATTTTCTGACGATCTATCTTGATACGCATCTAATTATATTTAGCTACGCAGAATTCACAAATTATTAATTTCTAAACGCAATTCTTGTTTTGTATTACATCACTCTAGCTTTTGGATCTCCCCAGCTTGTAGATGGTAGTTGCTACTTGATGCATTTGGATGACATTTGACTTGCGGTTTGTTGGATCAAATGGAAACTATACCTTTTTGGCTTGATGAATGACTCGTGTTTCTGGATTGAAGTTGACATGTTACTTTTGTATGACTAACAACGATTGCTACTTTTTGATTGATGACTCACATCTTCCTTTGTTAAGTTATAGTGTGGCTTTTGGTTCTATGCTGCTTGTGTGATACTACGGAAGGAAAGGTCACTCTCTCGCAAAGATTGGAGAGCTGTTGAACTTGAAATCATGAGTGGCATTTTGCTGTTAGAGTCCAGTTTAAAATGAAACCCTAAATTGTAAAAAATGCTTTTTATAAAATTAGATGAAGTAATCTTAACATAAAAAATAGTGCTTGCTATATGCTATAGCATATATAACACATGCTAGTTTGCTTATCCACACATAATATGCTAATATTGCAAAAGGTTCCCCTAACTATACTACATTGCTATAACACATGTTATTTTGTGCTATTATCAAGTTTGGCTCATATCATGGAAAATATTTGGTTAGTCGAGCTAGGTTCAAGAACGGATGATTCTTATGTAAGATCTATGTGATTGAGTGGGCTCATGGTGCATGCCTTTTGATTATATTAAAAAAGTTGTCGTTTGAGGGGGGAGTGATTAATTTATGTTGAGAGCTTTCATATGAGAGGGAGATTTTAAAGGCGCACGAGTGTATTGAGTTTTATCCCAAATCTAATAGACGTGAAACATATTGGTGCAAAAATAGCATTTGATTGATCATTTGATCCTTACCTATATAGTATATACCTAAATTTTTTTATTGAAATTAGATTTAACCATTGATTTATCAAACCCAACATTGGATTTTGCTTCATCCACACTCCTTTAATAAACTCCACTCTTATGTCATATAATTCAAATTTTGGTTATATAAATTTTCACTACTAAATGAGTAGTTCTAGTTTCGGCAAGCTATGGTTTGTTACTCGATTATTCTTGCATGACATTATGTGTTGTTAGCTTTAGCATAGTTATGTTGTGTTTTAATGGTTCACAAACTTCCATTAGCCGGTACTTCATGTTTTGTGCACATAGAGCGAGGATTAAGTAGACTTGTACACATCTTTAGTGATTATTTATCCTTATTACCAAACAGATTGGTCAGGAGCAAATTGAAGCTTTATATCAGTATGCCAAGTTCCAATTTGAGTGTGGAAACTACTCAGGCGCTGCAGACTACTTGTATCACTATCGAGATTTGTGCACTAATAGTGACAGAAGTTTGAGTGCTCTATGGGGCAAGCTTGCGGCAGAAATTTTGATGCAGAACTGGGCCATTGCTCTTGAAGAACTTAATCGCTTAAAAGAAATAATTGACTCAAAGGTTAACCTCTATCTCCTGAAAAAGTAAGATTAGATTGAAATTCTGAGCTTCTTTGCGTACCTAATTGCTATTTCTTTTTATGTTGCAGAATTTTGCGTCTCCTCTTTATCAGCTACAAAATAGAATATGGTTGATGCATTGGAGTCTTTTTATCTTTTTCAACCACGAAAATGGAAGAAATGGAATTATCGATCTCTTCTTCCAGGATAGGTGTGCTACTATATATGCCTTCAAAACTAAATGTATTCCATATATTCAATTGAGTTTGTATTATTAAGTTGATTGTTTTATGTTATTAAGAAATTTAATTAGCATAGCTTTGGTCTTCTTCTAAATGGCAAATTGATATCAAATGCTTGTCTTCTTGCCAAGGCCAATGATTCTTTTCGTATACTCTAGTGCTTTGTAAAATATGTTTCTGACAAAAATCTTTGAGGTTGTCCATATGAACACATAATTCTTTGTTTCAGCACTTAATTCTTTCTCTAAACAGTTTTCTAGGATGCAGAAATAGAAAGTAACGGGGTAAGAGAAAATATTATTCACTTGAGGTGAAAACAATTGTGTCTTATACAAGAGAGAGGTGGTGTATTTATAGTCATAGCTCTCATGATAAATTTGGAAACAAAAAATTGTTTAAATACCTCTTTGAACAAGAAACTAATAATAGATCAACACAAAAGAGAATTAGAGCGGGATACAAGAACCAAAATAACAATCTCCACTTTAGTTCTTTAATCCGCAATGTTCCAAGCAAACAACAACAAGAATTCTCTTTCACCATACTCAACAACTCTAAGCAATGCTTAAATTTTTAGGTAGATAGAGCTTTTGTTAACAATTTGTGTTGTTATCTAATTGGATCTTATCAATATCCACAATCCCATTAACCACCACCTCCTTAATGAATTGGAATTTCACATTTATATGCTTAGTCTTATCGTGATACATGTATTTTTGGTGAGGAATACTGCACTTCGATTGTTATGAAACATTGGCACAAGCCTATGCACTGATTGAATTAGCAAATCAGAAATCAATCCTTTCAACCATGCAGTTTCTTTGATAGATTTAGTTGTAGCATTGTATTCAACTTCATTTGTTGATAATGCCAAAAATGGTTACAACTTAGCTTTTCAAGTAAATAGTGTTTTCGAACATCTTAAACATGATTATAACATCATTTTTGCAATTGAGCAGAAATGAGTTAGATAAACCATCCACATGAACACACAAAATAATAATATGAGAGCATTGTGCGCCTCATTTTGTTATTGCTTATTTAAGTATTTTTAATTTTTAAACCCCTAAATCAGATTCAGTTATTAGAACCTAGATCCGACTCAGTTTTGAGCATTTTAAGAAACATAACCAAACCCTACCTGTTCTAGAATCAAAGCAAATTAGTTTGTTTGATTCAGGTTGGTTCTTCAAATATTATTGCACACCCTCACAAATAAGAGTAGCAATAAAAATCAACTAAAAGCTCATCAGCAGCAAAAGCCTAACTGAAAGCCTAAATGGCCAAGCAGTAACAACAACAACAACAACAACAACAACATCAAGCTTTCATCCCACTATGTGGGGTCGGCTACATGAATCTTTTTTCGCCATTGTGTCCGGTTAAAAGTCAAATTCTCATTTAAATCTAATAAAGAAAGATCATTTCTAATATTTTCTAACCAATTCTTGTTAGGTCTACCTCTACCTTTCTTAGCATAAGTCAAATCTAATACCTCAACTTTCCTAACCGGGTCATCGGAAGGCCTCTGTTTAATGTGACCAAACCATCTAAGGCGACTCTCTCTAATCTTATCTTCCACTGGAGCTACGCCAACCTTTTCACGTATATGCTCATTTCATATTTTATCTCTAAGGGTCAAGCCACTCATCCATCTAAGCATCCTCATCTCTGCAACACTTAACTTAGTATTATGCTTCTCTTTTAATGGCCAACATTCGGCACTATAAAGCATTGCAGGTCTCACCACCATCTTATAGAATTTTCCCTTTAAGTTTGAGGGGGACTTTTTTATCGCACAATAAGCCCGATGCATTCCTCCACTTCAACCATCCAACTTGAATTCTGCTGATAATATCCCCATCTATTTCACCATCACTCTGAACAATAGAACCAAGATATCTAAAACTTGTACTCTTATTAATGACTTGATTGCCCAAAGTCACAATCCCCTCACTAGGTTTATTGCTACTAAAATTACACTCCATATATTCAGTTTTAGATCTACTCAAGCGAAAACTTTGGACTCTAAGGTTGACCTCCATAATTCAAGTTTACCTTCAACTCCCTCTCTAGTCTTATCAACAAGAAGAATATCATCAGCAAAAATATAATAACCTAAATGAAGCTCAAAAGAATAAACCGTAGAGAGTAAAACCAATGCTACGGAATTGACTTGTTTATCAAAAAAGTAATCTACTACTCAAGAAAATGACAGCCCGACTAAAGTAAAACTAATATTCTTATTGTCAATCCACATGTCTCAGCATTTGCTTTCAACAAGCATAAAATTTAAGGTTTACGTAAATCTATATGAATTGTGAAAATGAAAATCGGTAATCATGAGGTTTCTATTCCAAGCTAGTCTGCCAGTGAAATCTTTCAGATTAAGTGCCATCAATTTTCTAATTGGTGCATACTTACGCATCAGTATTCATGATAGTGCGCTAGACGATATTTTTCATTTTGTGGTTCATCTTTGATATATTCCTTCCACTTCTAGGTCCCTTACCTCCAATTTCTTGCTATAAGCTATTTTAGCCATATTCTAGGAGGCGCTGCAAAACTTTAAATATGATGAAGGCTTGTAAAGTTTCCTTTTATATATCAGATATGTTAATGTGATTGCAGCAATTTTGACAAATTCCTGTGTACCTTAACCTCTAGTATCAATTTTAATTATCAACCTTCTTGTTTACTTTGTTTTTATTTTTATTTTTCAGGTACTTAAATGCTATTCAGACAAATGCAAACCATCTCCTACGTTATGTTGCAACTGCTGTCATTGTTAGCAAGAGAAGATGGAATATGATTAAAGAGCTTATCAAAGTTATTCAACAGGAAAACCATGTGTTTAAAGATCCCATTACAGAATTCCTAGAATGCTTATATATAAACTACGACTTTGAAGGTGCACAGCAAAAGCTTCAGGAGTGTGAGCATGTAGGGTTTTTGAAAGCCATTATCGTAGTCTCTCTTTTTATGTGCATATCCAACATAATAATCAAAATCACGAAGCTCATATGATCTGCTTTTTCTTCTGAAGCTTTCTCGCTGCTTACAGTTTTTACAGTTCTAGTAATTGTACTATGTCTTAGGAATCTTACTCTACTTTGGAAATACCCTTTATGTGACTCTGTCAATGTAGATTCTTTCCTGTGCTACATAACTAAAAAATAGTTGCTGATCTTGATCACTCTTGTGCATTTTGGTACATATGATATGATTGAATGTTGATTACTTTGAATGTTTGTTTGTGCATGTTGAATTTGTAGATATGGGCAGCACATCGAAAATTACTTCCAGCGTTAGCTTAGAGATTGAAATTATATTGCTTTTGCACAATGTATTTCATTATCATTATTATCATCATTGCCCTTTTCCCAAAATTATTTGGTGTCTGCATCGTGACTCATTTTTTATTGAGTGCTGTTGAAAGTGTTAAATGATTTTGCACAATCTATTTGTTGAGCATAAATATAAAAAGGTTACATGGTGGTATTGATGAGATCTAAATTCTGATTAACCTGCATGTAAGTGCATCTACTGAATATGAATACAAAAATCTATTAATTACAATTTTACTTCATGCAATTTGTATGTTTTTGTCGGTCTGATGGTTGCATGATATATTTAAATTTTTACTCGTTATGTCTTTTAATAACCATAACTGTTTAGGCTCCTTATGAGTTCAATGCCTGCTTTAGGTGATTCTCAATGATCCTTTTCTCGGTAAACGAGTTGAAGATGCTAACTTTTCAACGGTGCCCTTGAAGGATGAATTCCTTGAAAATGCTCGGCTTTTCATTTTTGAAACCTACTGCCGCATTCATCAATGCATTGATATCGGGTAAGCAAAATGCCTTATTTTGAATTAAGTATTAGAGGCTGGTTTATTGCTTGATGTTATTGGTTCTTTGATTGTTGAGTGCTTTTCCTTCTCATCAGTGCCGGTTAGTAAAGTATTGTTTTTTTTCCTGTCTTTTGCCAAATGAATACATTAGCGAGGCAGAATTTCTAGGTTTGCGGAATGATGGAAGTTTGCCACCATTTTAATTGATCTGATACTGTCATCAATTCGAAAGAAATTTAGGATCTCTTTGTGATCACTTATAAATTTTTTTTAAATTGTTTTTCTTAAATATTTTTATTTAGTGTGTTTTTTTAACTTTTTTATTTTTAATTTTTAAGAACAAATCAAGTTGGCGATAGCTCCACCACCTCTTAAAATAAACAACAAAAACGTGTTTTTAAGGTACCAACCATATTTTCTTTTTATTAAAATATAAACAAAATAAAAAAAAAAAAAAGTAATTTTAAGCGGCCCCTTAGGTACTAATTCAAAGTGCAAGATATTTCTCTAATTTTACTAATGATGAGAAGAGGCTTAGGTTTGATTGTCTCTCTTGCATACTTTTTGATATTTAATACTACCTGCAAAAGGCTACTACCATCTGAAGTAATTGATTTTTTTTTCTTGCTACTATTTAATTTGGGTTCTTGTTTTGCGTGTTTTAATAGAAATGGTACTCCGTACTCCTAGCTTTTCTGGAAATCATGAATTCCTTCTGGAGGAAAAGTTCTATTTGAATTCTTAATTCCAATTTATGAATAGTGATCTAATACCGAAAATTTTTGGATTATGATTCAAATTTGGATTATGACGGGTTTTATAATCATTGATTGTATTTTCTTCACAATGAGTGCATTATAAATTTTAATTGTTATGTATTGACCCTCAAAGTAAATCCAATGACAAAAAACATGGATTGAAATTTTCTCTTTCAAATATTACTTCCAAGGAAATTATTACAAAGAATATGATGCTTGCATATGCACAAGCTTAATTTAATCTGCTCAATATTTGTATTTTGATTGTTGTTTTTCATGGCTGGTTATATCAGTTTCCTTTCTACTATACTATCCAGTTACCTTTATACCAATTTAATCTCTCTTGTAACAGCATGCTTGCAGAGAAGCTCAACATGAACTATGATGAGGCTGAGAACTGGATTATGAATCTTGTTCAAAATGCAAAGTTAGAAGCCAAGATTGATTCCGTTTCAGGAACTGTTATAATGGAAACCAGCAATGTTAACGTGTAAGTTAATTTTCCTCTTTTTTCTTTCTTTTTCTTTCAATTTCCAATTTATGAGGGTGGGCCATTAGCTGGAAAATGAAAATAGTGTAGTTTGCCTTATTAATGCAATAATTTAATTTGTCTCTATTATAATCTGGAGGTGATATTTAGTTCAGTTCAATGTATATCTTAGGTTGATATCAAATATTTTTTGTATTTATTTGTGAATCAATCAAGTCTACGGGAGAAAATTTTTTGGTGAGGATATTTTAATAATTTTGATCCTGGTGAATTTCAAAGCTCTTTGAATTTATTTTGTGATGAGTATAATACACAGAATCAATTAAACTTTATATTAGATTTTTTAAAATAAATTGATACCTTCTAGCAACAAAAGAAGGACGCTCTATCCTTCAAGTGGACACCAAAGCTCCAAGACCTCAGAAAATGAACAAAAAAGAAGAGAAGCTAAGAGGAACGTATTCTCATTAATTATCCTGTTTCACCATTTACAATTTCTTATAAGCCAATACAGAAATAAGTATCGCTACACAGGTAGCGACCTTTGGCTTCCCTCCACTGCCCGAATAGGTTTTGGTATTGTTCCTGTTGCTTTGTTAAAAACAAGGATGAAACAAGGATGCTGCTGCTTTGTTAAAAACAAGGCGGTGCAGTGCTAACTTAAGGCTTTGTTTGGGGCGGTTTTTTTTGCTGCTTTCTAAAACAGTTCTTTTTCTTTAGAAAACAGTAAGAAAGCTGTCCCGAATTAAACCTACTTGAAATCTTTCAGCCATGGGCTTTGTTTGTGTTTTCACCTCTGAATTCCATGTGCCCTTATCATGTTCCGTTGACACTGTTGGTGTTATTTGTGTCTCAACTCCAGTCGTATTCCTCTCTTACTTATCTGTCCATTTAATGCTTTGTTCCTGTACTTGAGTTGCATTCAGAGCTAGAGGCTCCTTAAAATAACTCTTAATGATCTTAAGATTCATTACGATAAAAAATTCGGTCAGAATATTCCTAACAAAGTCAGATTTTTTCGGTCGAAAGTAATTGAATTTGTGTTGATTTTCAAAGTTTTTTTAGCAGAGACTGATTCTACAATCTTGTTTAGCTTATGTTTTCTTCCTGACTTTGTTTCAGATATGAGCAATTAATAGAGACCATGAAGAACCTGAATACGAGGACTTATCTGCTGGCAAAGAGTTTGGTCGATCAAACGCCACAGTCTGCACGTTAGATTAAGCAGGTCATTGGTTCCGACCTTTATCTTTTTGTAGTTCAAAAGTCTGTATTATTTTATTCGAATATATTAGAAGTTTGGTAGGATTATGTGGTAGATTCCTGTTGCTTTGTTAACTGAATCAATATTTGAAAATATTCATAGAATCAAGCTTGGTTATACTTTTTTCTTATTTCTTGTCACAAAATCAAGCTTTTCTTTGGAATTTAATGATGAAACAGGCAAGTTTCTGCCATTGTTGGCTACAATTTTTTTTTTGTGATGAGTTTTTGGCTATTAATTATGCTGAAGTGTGATAGTTGTGAGAAAATTTGATTTTTTTTCCCAGAAAAAGATGGTAACATTTGAAGCTTTAGGGATTGTTTTGTAGCACCAGGATTTGATTTAAGTAGGATTTCTTCAATCCTTTAAATCCGGATTTTGAAAATTCGGATGGGCCTAAATCCTGAAAATTGTTTGGTAACATTCATGATAAATCCTATTAAATTTCGTGTGATTGTTTGGCTATAGAGCGGATTTAATTAGCGGACTCTTTCTCTCGAGCCAATGGATTTCGTAAATCTGGCAAAAAAAACAAGATTTCGGAAATCCGGGATTTACCACGAAAAGGTGGAATTTTCTAATTAGCGGACTCTTTCTCTCGAGCCAATGGATTTCGTAAATCTGGCAAAAAAAACAAGATTTCGGAAATCCGGGATTTACCACGAGAAGGCGGAATTTTTTGTCTACAGCGACTTTCTTTTGTCGTGAGATTTGGTTTTGCATTTTAGACTGTTTGGTTGGATTTCGCTCAAATCAGCGTCAAATCCGGCCTAAATTATGCAACTCAACAGCCTAACTTCCTCTAAAAATGATTTATATGGTTAATCTATGTTATTTTAAAATAAAATTTTAGTTTTAAAATGAAAATGCTTACCTTTATTTTACATGTTTTTTGCTAATATCATAATCATTTTGTCTCATCTCAATCAATAATACAAGCCATTTACTGATGAAGCTTCAAATTTAAAGAAAATTATTGTAGTTCTTTTTTATATAAAATGTTTTTTTTTTTTTTTTTTTGGAAATTTTGGTTGAGTATTTATACTTGCTTATTTTCCAAATTTGTTCATTTATATATTCACTATTTATATAATTTCTTCTTGACCCTTGATTGATGACTTATATAAATATAAATTTTAAAATTATTTTCTACATTTTTTCATAGCCAATTAAAGATATTATAAAGTCAATATTTCCAAAACGTTGCAGCTTTGTTAATTCACTTAAATTTAAATTTTTAGAGTTTTGATTGTAAATAGTCATTAAATTTTATTTATCAAGATAACGGGCTCTTTTTTGTTTTACTGTATTATACAATAAAAAGTTTATTTATTTTATAAGCTATACATCTGCATTAGATATCTTCTGCTATATAAACAAATAGCAGGCTTAAAATTTCATCAAATAATTATTCAAAATTTTTATTTTAAAGATTTTTAAATACAAATTTATACTTTTATAATCAATTTATGAATAATTTAATTGAGGCAGGATGCTCTCAGTGGAATTTTATAAGAATGCATTTGAATAAAAAATCATTTAATTTTAGCACGAATCCACCAAGTTCAGAATAATGAAAATCCTTAGCCAGGAAAAATAGAAACAATAGCAAGCAAATAAGAATGGTATGTCCTGAATGAATATTAGAGAAAATTATACATCCCTTTTGAAAATTAAGCAAAATAATAGCTAAACCACATAAACTAATACTTATTAAAAAGAAAAAAATCCTACTCAAGCAGAAAAATAGCTCTCAACCTCCAATCATTCCTCTTTACATGTGTAATCAATCACCAACCTGATTTCTCCTGATATTGCAGTCCATCTCAGCCAAAATCTGCTCAAAAATGGCTAAATCAAACTCCTTATGTACAGAACAGGTCAATTTCTACAAACCTTTCGACGGTCGCGCCTTCCATTACATGAAATCACAGCTTTTCCAAGTCATCAATGGCAGACTATCAGCAGGGAATGCAGCTTCCAGCATCTCCAACAGATGCAAATTGATGTGTTACAGAAATCACCTCTCTGATCATCGTTGATATGAGCTTCCAGATCGGCGCCAGCGGTGCCAATCGGAGCTTCTTTCGTGTTGGGTGCTGTAACTACTAGCTGGGGTTCTGGGACCAAATCCCTTCTTCATAGTCCTCAGCTCCTCTTCAGTATCATACTGTTGGCGCTGAACAGGAAAATGAAAGTTATGGGGTCTTTCAATGGAAGAATGAAAGCAAATCATCAAAAAGAAAATCAGATTAATGAACTGCTATTTGTTCATATCAGAAAGGTTAAATATTCTATATTTTCCGATCAAGCCGCAGCGCAACTTAAGTGGTGCCCAATCAAGTGCGGGCCATGAGATTTTTGGAGTGGGCGCCTCTTCTAGGTAAGCCGAGGATTAGTCACGCTGCTAAGCGCCCTTTCGGGGGTGTCAGCGGGTGGTTCTATACTTGGGCATATAATACAAGCATAAGCAGTTATTATTCACCAAAATGATTGAATAGATTTGTGATTGTCCATGGTAAAGAAGGCACCTTTACGATTTCAAAAATTTTAAGCCAAACTATACTCAGCAAAAATCTTCTCGGCAGGAAAAGGCTGGTGAATGTTTACAGTATTGTCCTGAGTTTTCTTTATAAGTTTGATGTAGAGATGTTAATTTCCTAAGAATCATCATCTAATACAGGTAAAAACAGTGATGCTAAAATTGCTTACAAAATCATATTCTTGTTTTCCGATAGGAAATACTTGAGTATTTCAAGTAAACCCTAACAAGATTGATAAAAAAAACAGCAAGAACACCTCAATATCTCTAATAAAAACAATCCAAAACAGTACATTTTATTATCAGAATCGAAACAAGGAAGAACAAGCAAAGATACAATTGATCCTCAATTCGAGAGGAGGATCATTCTCTCCCAATCTCTAGACGATGAATCTAGAGCCCAAAACATAAAAAAAACTCCAAGAGAATACCATCATAAGCTTGAGCCTAAACCTAGACAACTCTTATTTCATACAAAACTTCCCTAATTTCAAATCCCGAATTCAAAATTTCCCTCCCTCTCCTAGCAGCCCATTACTTTTTTCCTTATTGGATTGCCTAGTGGCCACTAGGCTTGGGCGGCAGTTTTTCCGCCTAAGGGGGTCCGTCTTTTGTAGCAGAACCAACCCTGCAAGGGCCGTTTGGGGTTGGGCCAATTCAGCCTGAACTGGCCTAACAATACAGCACTCCCAAAGAATCACCTTGTCCTCAAGGTGCAAACAAGGAAACTGATGTTTCACCCTATCATATGGCTCCTATGTGGTGTCGTAGTCCGGGAGGTTCTTCCACTTGATCAACACTTCCTTAGTTCCATCTTCTCTCTAGCGAACTCCCATCAACTCCAAGGGTTCCAAGATCACCTCTAAATCCTCAGTTAGTATTACCGGTAGCTCAAAGCTTATTGCAAAATCTCCAATTACCCTTTTCAGCTGAGATACATGGAACACTGGGTGTATAGTTGCTGTTGGTGGTAGTTTCAGCCGATAAGCCACCGCTCAAATCATTTCTACTATCTCATAAGGCCCAAAGTATCTTAGAGCAAGCTTTTCATTCCTCATATTGGTGTCTGACCTTTGCCTGTAAGGTCGGAGCTTCAAGAACACTATTCTCCCCTACCTCGAATTTTATGTCCTTCCTATGCCTATCAGTCTGTTTCTTCTTAATATGTTGAGATCTCAACAAATGCCTCTTCAATTCTTTCAATACCCGATCCCTCTTCTCCAAGTACTCCTCTACTTAAGAAATTGGAGTGTTGTTATACCCAAAATGTACCAAGTGAGGTGGGTCTCTTCTGTACAACACCTTAAAGGGTGTCATCTGAGAAGCATAGTGATAAGATATGTTGTACCAATACTCAACCCATGATAGCCACTTGACCCATAACTTGAGTGTCTCTGATACAAAACATCTGAGATAAGTCTCCAAGCTCTTGTTGACCACTTCTGTTTTGCAATCTGTCTGTGGGTGGTAGGCGGTGCTTCTCTTCAATATTGTCCCCTGTAGACTGAACAACTCCTTCCAAAAGTGGCTGAGGAACACATTATCCCTGTCGGATACTATAGCCTCTGGTACATCATGCAATCTGACCACCTCTCTAATGAAAGTTGATGCCACTATCAATGCGGTATATGGATGGCGTAGAGGAATGAAATAAGCATACTTGCTCAATTGATCTACCATCACTAGGATCATTGTGAACCCTTATAATCGGAGAAGTCCATCTATGAAATCCATGAATATCTCCTTCTATACTTGACCTGGTAAAGCTAACGGCTATAATAAACCTCCTAGAGACATGGGCATGTACTTGTTCCTCTGACAGATCTCACATATTGCTACCATCTTCTCCACATCCTTATGCATCCCTTTCCAGTATAGCTTTGAAGCTAGCCTCCTGTATGTCTTCTGCACCCCTAAGTGACCTCCAACAACGCTCCCATGAAACTCCTAGAGCAAGTGTGGAATGTGGACTGATGTACTAGGCATCACAAACCTCCCTTGGTACAAAAGTCTCTCTCCCCCCCCGAAGGAATATACAGGGTGACTACTCCCTTCCCTTAGTAAATCAGCTCTAATCTTTCTCAACTCCTCATCCCAAGCGCTCTCCTCCTTGATGGCCTCCCAATCTAGCATCATTGGGATTGACACTTCTGTCGCTTGACTGATCTGCTGTCACCCCTTCTTTGGACATAATATGGCTAAAATATTCCACACTTGTCTCGGCAAAATAGCACTTCTTCAGGTTGGCTCTGAGCTGATGTTCCTGCAACACCCCTAACACCCTCATTAAGTGCTCCCAATATTCCTCCTCTATCCTGTTATAAACTAGGATGTCATCAAATAACACAAAAACAAATCGCCTGATATAAGACTTGAAGACCATGTTCATGAGTGACTGAATTATGGATGGAGCGCTAGTGAGACCAAAAGACATCACCAAGAACTCATAATGCCCCTCGTGAGTCCTAAAGGAAGTTTTTGGCACATCTTCATTCTTCATTCTAATATGATGATATCTCGATTTCATATCTATCTTAGTGAACATTACTGCTCCACTTAGTTCATCCAACAGCTCACAATCACTGGTATAGAAAACTGTCTGGCACAATTTCCTTGTTAATCGCCCTGTAGTCCACACAAAACCTCTAGCTGCCATCTTTTTCTTCACCAGTAACACTAGACTAGAGAAAGAATTGATATTGGGATAATTCCTGCTCTAGCATCTCTCTAATCAACTTCTCAATTTCATCCTTCTGAAATTTAGGATATATATACGACCTAACACTGATGGGCGACACACCTTTCCTCAAGGTGATAGTGTCCTCCTTCTCCCTTGGCGGAGGTAATCCCTGAGGCGGTTAAAACACCTCCTGGAATTACTGGATCAATGGATGTATGGAGAGGGGTATGTCCCCTCCATCCTTCAATTTAATTCCCTCCAATCTATGTAGCTCCACTAAATAGCTTTCCCCCACCTCTTATATATTCCTCCCCATGGTTTTGAGTGACACCATGGCTTTGGATATCCCTGTATCTCCCCTAATCATCACCTTTCTTCCATCCACCCTTAGCTCCATCGTGAGTGCTCCCAAATTGACCTTAGTGTCCCCCAAGGCCTACATCCACTTCATCCCCAAGATGACATTTATACTTCCTAACTCCATTAGGAGAAAGTTCTCGCTCACCTGAATCCCTTGGATGGTCAACACCACTCCTCTACAAATCCCCTAGCCTTTCACCACCTTTCCTGTCCCATCATCACCCCATAACAACCGGTGTCCATCAATTTCACTCCTAGTTGGTTGATGACTTGAGTGAAAATGAAATTGTGGGTAGCCCCACTTTCAATTAGAACCGCCAACCCCTTGTCCCCTATCTCCCCTTTCACCTTCATGGTATGATTCATGGTGAATTCTACCATCGAGTTCAGGAAAACCTCTGCCATATCCAGATGCATTTTCTCCTCTATCTCCTTCTCTACTTCCCCTCACCTCCCTCCTCAGTTTTCTCGTCATTACAGATGGTGAGAACCTTAAGAGTTCGGTCGCTACACCTATGTCCTGGGATATACCTCTCATCACACCTAAAACACAACCACTTTAGCCTCTTCTCCTATATCTCCTTCTCCGTTAGCCTCTTGAAATTTTCACCGCTCCCTCCTACTGTCTTCTCCCTGTGGTTTCACAAAATCTTTCTATTGCAGGACCCTTGGGTGCTAACTGGGTGGTCATCATCCTGTATGTGCCTCCTGAGCTGCTGCTCCTGTCTCCCTTCTCTAGATTCTTCTGATTTTCTACCATCTGTGCCAAGTTCATAGTCTCTCCGAAGTCACGAGGCATCATGACTTCCACCGCCGCTATGATCTTTGTCTAGAGCCCCTTCATGAAGTTTTCCTCAAATGCAGTCTCTGATAATCGCTCCACTCGACTGGCTAGATGCTCGAACCGCTCCCTATAGTCCACCATTGATCCCTCCTGCACCAGTGCAAAAAATTGCTCATGGAAGTCCCCTCCCCGTCGGTTTGGAAACATTTTAATAAACAATCATTGAATGCTCTCCAGCTCCGCATAGATCTCCTTTGGTCCCTCCAGTGGAACCATGACAACGCCATCCCCTCCAAACATAGGCCTATTGTTGTCAATTTATCCAGATTCGTCAACTCATTGATGGCAAAGTATCTCTCCACCTTGTAGATCCATCCATAAATGCTCCCCTTTAAAAATTGGCATTTTCAGCTTCCTCACGTTTGGCTCTCCCCCGTTTCCCCATATTCCTCCATACTTTCCCCTCTCCCAAGTGTTTTGCTCTCCCTACATCTCCCGGTCTTCCGTTACATGTTCATCTTCAAACCACTTATCACTTTCTTCCCTCTTTTCTCCAAAATTAGCACCCCTCTTACCATAATTTCCCTCTTTTTTCTCCCAACCAGCATCCCTTACTCTTTGTTCCCTATTTCTACGTCTCTCTACATACCTTCCTCCTTTCTCCTCAATGATTTCTACGTCTTCCCTCCTACGAAAATCAGTATTCGTAGTTCTTCCCATTGGTCCCTTTGCCTCCGATGTCGCCGTTTGGATTTGATTTTCCAATAACTTCTTTTCCATTAAATGAAGAAAGGAAATTTTGTCTTCCACGGACGAAACCTTGTCTTCTACGGATGAAATTCGATCATCCACCATGACTTTTATTTGGCTCATCTCTCCTTCCAAATGCTCTTCCAAAGCATCTACCTTCATGGCCGCCATATAAATTTGTGGATTGACCCAAAAATCAGCAAGGGTTCCTTTGGATGAATTTTCAAAAATTCAACCCCCGATGGTCCCAAGACTTACTCTGATACCAATTTGAAAGAAAATACATGAGTATTTCAAGTAAACCTTAACAAGATTGATAAAAAACAGCGAGAAAACCTCAATATCTCCAATGAAAATAATCCAAAACAGTAGATTGTATTATAGGAATCAAAACAAAAGGAAGAACAAGCAAAGATACAATTGATCCTCAATTCGAGAGGAGGATCGTTCTCTCCCAATCTCTAGACAATGAATCTAGAGCCCAAACACTCAAAATAACTCCAAGAGAATACCATCATAAGCCTGACCCTAACCCTAGGCAACTCTTATGTCGTACAAAACTTCCCTAATTTCAAATCTCGAATTCAAATTTTCCCTCCCTCTCCTAGCCGCTCATTACTTCTTTTCCCTGTTGGATAGCCTAGTGGGCCCATTAGGCTTGGGCAGCAGTTTCCCCACCTAAGGAGGTCCGTCTCCTAGGGGTTGGGGTTGGGTTCCTTGCCTCTTTACCTAATTTGTCGAACTTCCTCCCTCTTGCATTGACTAGTAACAGAGTTTTGTCAAGTTCTGCATCACTTAAAATTATAACAGCTCTACCAGAAAACAAAGGAAATAAAAAATTCAATGTAAGCATCAAAAACCTCTTAGGCCTTTCAAGTACTGAACTATATAAACATTTTCGTTACCATGAGTTTGAATCCTTTGAAAATACTTATTTCCTCATTTTACTTTAGTTGAAAAATAAATTAGTAATCCATCTTGCTGCCTGACAAACCTGTCTTTCATCTTTGCCAGTCTTTCTAATATTTTCTTTAACTCGAGATAATTATTAACACAAAGCATAACAAAGGTATGAATGGGAGACAAGCTAGAACCGTACTTTGGCTTCAAATAAGAAATTTTCAAATTGCATGATCACATTAAGTTCCATGTTGACAACATAATACAAAAACATGGTGCATCTGTCATACATTTATATATATTACTTGTACATACCTATGTGGTACTTGATAGATGTCTAGTAGGTTCTCATCGGTATAATTGACTTGAACGATCCCACCTCCCACGAGAAGCACTCACCACAAGGAAAGGCAATCGACATTATTCCGCTAATCAATATCATTCCGCAGAGTCACAATTATTGTCCTAACAAGGCAGTGACTTTAAGACTCACTTGGGTAGGATAGATCATCACCTCTGGTAGGTCTCCTAGGAAGACTCGCCCAGACTCATTCGACTCAAACATCACCAGTCTTAGTAGGAACTATTCATCCACAGTCACCCCTCATGGTTAAGGCTATACAACCACCACTAACATTTCCAATCCAATTACAAGAAGCACACACCTCAAAGTCTATAACTACGATCTCTCAAGTATGGAAAATCCTTGACCTCTCCCACAAAGGGGAGATTATTACGTGCGGAGTCCGGACTCAGAGAACCGTTCGATTTTGTGATTGTGAACATTAAAAGAGCAGAGCGCAGTAAAAGTACAATAAAAGCACAATGGGGAACAGTAACTGCGCTATTACTGTTCCCAATCACAAAACCGAATAGTTCTCTGGGTTCATACTCCGCACGTAATAATCTCTCCCCACCAAGAGGAGTCGCCCTTTCACTTCTAAATCTTTGAATCTTGTCACAACGAACTTGCCACCACATCTAGAGAATTTGCCTTCATAGATTAACCTTGCATGTGGAGCCACAAGGATTTGCCAAACGCACTCGCCCATGAATAGTCCTATCATATGTAGAGATCTACGGGGAGGTCAATCAACTATGCCACGTGTCTATAATAGCTTGTAATAAGTCATTTCAGACATTGTACTTTATATTATTTTTTATTATTTTAGGTGTAGCTTTTCTTGTAGCCATCTAAACCTTATATAAATAAAAAATGAAGAGACATCTTTTGAGAATTTAGGACTTAACTTTAGGATTCTCTAGAGATTTTTTTATCTTTGAGACTACTTTTTGCCCATTTTCCCTAGATACCACACTATTCTCTCCCAAGGCACATAATTCTCACACTCCATACTCATACAATCTTCGCTCAATCCCTCAACTCGGGTCTCGAGATTACCTGTTGGTAAGTTCGGATGTTATCTCAAAATAATTTTGGATCCAACATCCTTGAAGGTGAGGTGATAGATTTATGCTAGTGACTATAAGACATGCACATCTTGAAGAACAACAAAATCTTAAACTGTCGGTGAATATGGAGAACCCACCTACATCATGTCATAACTTATGCAGATGAGAGGACATAAAAGATGATTCATGAAGCACTTGGAAGATTGCACAGAAATGCTTTGAGAGAAAGTACACCACAAGGATCCTTTGACTCGGTAGTTCACCATAGAAATAGGGTGCTCACCTCGACACCCAATGCCAAACCTACTCAAAGTCACACCAGTGACGAAAAATAAAATCCCCTTTAAGGTGACTGAGGAGAAGAGGACCCGAGCTGATCAACACGTTCACTAGAGAAAAAGTTTAAGCAAGTCCACCTCCAACGTTCAAAATGCCCAATCTGAAATCCTATCGAGGAAGAATCAATTCTGTCGACCACCTAGTGTATTTTGACACGACATCACTACTTGATGTAGACGATGCCTTGAAGTGTTGGTTGTTCACCACCTCTAAGGAGTCGGCCCTTTAGTGGTTTACTCGCCTTCCACTGAGCAAAATCGCCTCATTCGTTAAGTTCAAGAGAATGCTCGTCACTCAGTTTGCAAGCATCCAAAAGTCTTTGAATAACTCAAAAGCTTTCTTAAAGATTCGTCGAGTAGCTGCAGAGCTTCATTGTGCGGTTCCAAAAAGAGACGCTGAAGTTAAAAGACTTTGAACCCACACTCACTTAGGCTGCCTTGACACAAAGCCCGTGAGAAGGCCCCTTTATGCTCTCGGATTGCAACAACCCCAAACACTAGCGGGCTGCTCGAACTTGGCAACAATAGCATAGATATATCTCGAACATTTTCTTTTGATGTACTAAGTTTCTCATATCTCATAAAGTCGGTTTACTTGCACATGTTTAAAGATTAAATTGTCACACCAACAGTTTAGGTACTGACCTTGGAACATAAATGCTGAATTTCTAATTCTACTGAAACCCAAAAAACCCATTAACCAAGCAATTACCACATAAAACTTTCAACTCAATATAAAAAAATCAGCTAACTTTATCTGAGTTTCACCCAATGATCACAATAAACCTGTCCTAGAATAGGTTTCAAAATACCTTAGACGGGTCTACAAGAATCGCATAAGCCTCCCCAATCATCTTGAATAATCTATCAGCATCAGAGTGGACTTCCTCTGCTACTTCTCTCCAAACCCTATCATCACCGTTCTCGCTACGAGCTAGGAATTGACTGGCCTGTACGAAAAAAACATTTGAGTTTTTCTGAAAGATGGAACGGTAACCTGAAAAACTCAAAACTAAATACCTTATCAGGATGATGCCTCAGTGCAGCTTTGCGATAAGCTTTCCTCACATCTGTTGCAGAGCATGACCTTTCAATTCCCCTGTACCAAGAAAGAAGGGTTAAAATTAAGCAAATGAGATGATCTTTAAGCGGCAGCTAAGAAAATTAAAAAAATTTTGGAGGACAAGTTGCTCTTTTGCCGAAAACGTTATAGATATATAAACAGCTACTTTGGAAAAGCCCGAGGGATCCAAACACAATACAGGACCACCTAAAAATTTTTCAAACTTGTTTCTCAAAGTAAGTAGGAGACCATTAAAAACTAGTGCTGGAGAATAATTCACTAAAAAATAAGCAAACTAATGGTAGACCTAAGCAATTGTTCATGCAAATGATAATTGCACCAGTATTGCGATTCTGTCAAAACTCAGATTAGATTTGTGTTAGACTGGTCCAACGGACCGGTCCAGCCGGTCCATGTGGGACCGGCCCAGACGCGAATGAGGCTGAGCTTCTCTGCCTCCCGCTCTAGCTGCACGAATCGCAAGATCCATCGGAGCCAATTTGGAAGGATTTTTTAGGGAGTTAGGAGCAAATTTGAATGTAGGGACTGTTTAGAGATTTCCTTTTGAATTGCATGCATTAAATATCTTGTTTTCCTAGGGTTAGGGCATCTTGAATTTGGCTGATTTTGGGATCTCTTAGGTTTAAGTTTTGGGGCTTTAGATTCATTTAGAGATTGAGAGAGAGATCCACCTCTCGAATAGAGTATCACTTGTATCTTGTTAATTTCTTACAATCTATTTGATTATTACAATAAAAGCTACTATTTTTTTTTTCATTGGAGTTTGTAAGAGTTTTCTCGCTGTTTTTGTCTTTATTGTTAGGATTCACTTGAAATCTACAAGTGTTTCCTATCAATTTGCTTCAATTAAACTGTGATATTTATTCAAAACATTTTTTAATGAATTAAACTGCCATATTTATTTGGCCAAAGCATTCCTTCTTCATGACGATAATCTTAGATGGGCAACAACTCCTAGCCAAGTAAATTTTGGATCAATTTTTCTTCATTACAAAAAATCTATAGCATACGCTTTGAGTAACAAAAGAATAATATTGCTAACAAACAGAAAAATTCATCATGATGCCAGAACAGAAAAGAGCAAGTAACATTTAAAGAAACGGTGCTTAGAAACTGAATATGGTTCACTAAAATGGCAAAGCTGGTACTTACAATATCATATACATATCCAATGTGCCTCCTTTACGAGCCTCCTCTTCCACTGTACAAAGCCTCATTTGAGCTTGTTTGAGATCAGTGATGTTGCTACTTGATCTACCCAGCGCTCCACTAGTACTGTTTTTATCTTCTGAACGCATTTCAAGAAGAGATGTAAGCTTTTGCAGATCAGTGGCCGCCTGTCCATAGTCTCTAATCATCTCATGTAAGGTGGCTCTTCTAGAAATTGCCTACAATATTAGAATGATATTCCGAACTTGTTAATTGTCCTCACAGAGGAGTAAAAGAAAGGGTGAATGAACTGGCTTTTTCTGAAGGTTTTCAGTAGTGCTCAGTAGAGAAAAACGTATGCAACTTATATGTTATTTTATCAATGATAACGATGCCATCTTCTAACATACATAATGTTTCTAAAAGAATAAAAATCTGATGTACCGGCTGAGCAGGTCCCGCCAATCAACCCGGCCCAAGCAAGGTGGGCCGGTTAAGCTAGCGGATGGAAAAGCCTTGTAGGCCCCACTAGTATGGGCGGCGGGCAAGACAAGGGGCTCAAAGGGGATTAATTCTATCTTTAATTACTTACTATAAGAAAACAAAAAAATTTGACGAAATTAGAAAGGTTTATTTAGCGAAAGAGGACTAATTTAATTTAGATTTGGGAGGAAATTATGAATGTTTATTTAATGAAAGAGGGCTTATTTGAATTCAGAATTGGGAGGGAATTATGAAGGTTTATTTAGGATTAAGTAAGTTGTTTTATTTCTTCTTCATATTGACATATAGAACAAAAATATATATATATATATATATATATATACTTCTATGAATAGTTCTTTGCTCTGTTACAAGAAGGGACGGTATCGGGAGAAGTTCAAGTACTTCTCAAACTGATTGGAAATGTTATCAAATAATGTGCTCGAGGGGAACTGTATGAAGGGGCTCAAGCCTAATATTCGAGCAGGTATTTGAGTGCTGAGACCATGTGGCTTAGGTGAGGCTATGGAGTTAGCTTAGATGGTGGAGAATAAGAACTCTTTGGAGAGGAGTAGTCGTAAAAGCAGTTTGGGAGTCTACTACTGCATAACCACTACATTTCTAGCACCCAAGGTACAGACGGTGCCTTTTTAGAAGGAAGCATTGAGGGATAAATGTCAGGGAGTGCGATCGGGGGGAACTTCAAGAGGTTGACGGAGTCAAAAATTCAGGAGAAGAGGGCCAAGGTTTTATGCTTTCGGTGTGATGAGAAGTTCGCTCGAGGCCACTATTGTAAGGACCGTTTGTTATAGGTCCTAACAATTAGCGATGAGGAGGAAGATGTTGCAGAGGAGGAAGATGAACACCTACACTTAGATGTTGCAGAGGTATTCCTTAACTCAATGGTCGGGTTCACATCGAACCACACTATGAAGGTTAAGGGAAAGATTGGGCATCAGAAGGTGGTAGTGCTGGTGGATAATGGAGCTACCCACAACTTCATTTCCAACAGGATGGTGGATCAGTTTGGACTAAAATTAGTGGGCATGGGGGGCTTTTGTGTTATGCTGGAAACATGAAAAGTATAGAGTAAAGGAATTTGAAAAGGGCTGATCCTAATTCTTCTAGATGTTCAGGTATTAGAAGACTTTATGCCATTGGATTTAGGGAGCATAGATATGATATTGGGAATGAAGTGGTCTGCAAAAGTTAGGGAAGGTCAAGATTGATTGGAAGGCTGTAACGATGGAGTTCAAGATTGAGGGGAGGAGAGTGGTTATTATAGGGGATCCTAGCCTGTCCAAAACTATGGTTTTACTCAAAACTACGGTGAGGGTTATCCAAGGTGAAGGAGTGGGATTTTTGGTGGAGCTATAGAGTTTGGCAAGAGAAGAGGATGAGGAGAAAATAGAAGTACTAGACATGATTCAACCACCCCTACAATAGCATTGAAAGGTGTTCTAGCTAGTTCAGAGGTTTCCTCCTCTGCATGAACACAAGCATTTTATCATCTTGAAGGAAGGAGTCTAACCTATTAGTGTTCGTCTGTACCATTATCCCCAAATTTAGAAAGATAGGATTGAGAGATTGATTAGAGAGATGGTGGAGGAAGGATCATTCGACCCAATGTCAGACCATTTTCCACTCCAGTGTTATTAGTGAAAAAGAAAAGAAAGCCGTAGGAGGTTTTGCGTGAACTATTGGGCATTGAACAAGGAGACTATGCCAGATAAAATTTCCAATTCCAATGATTGATGAGTTATTGGATGATTATGGAGCGGTGCTTTTCTCAAAGATTGATTTGAAGTCATTATACCCATCAGATTCATATGAGACATAAGGATGTTCCCAAGAGGACATTTAGGACTCATGAGGAACATTATGAGTTTTTAGTGATGCCTTTTGGCCTCACTAATGCTTCGGCTACTTTCTAGTCCCTGATGAACAGGTATTCCAGCCATATCTGCGGAGGTTTGTGACAGTCTTCTTTGATGATATTTTAATTTATAGCAGGACCGAGGAGTGCTTAGAACACTTGGGATTGGTGTTATCCACTCTACGGGACCACCACTTGTTTGCTAATTTGAAAAAGTGCTCATTATTCCAACCTAGAGTGAGAGTATTTGGGGCATGTGGTATCACAAGAAAGAGTAGCAGTTGACCAAAGCAAAATCGAGGCCATGCTGAGGTGGCCAATACCCAAGGGCTTGAGAGAGTTGAGAGGGTTTATGGGGCATATAGGCTACTACAGAAAGTTCGTGAAGGGATATAGTCTAGCCTTTGACCGAATAGCTAAAAAAGGATAATTTCAACTGGGGCGAAGAAACTACAAAATCCTTTAAGGAGTTGAAGAAGGTGATGACCAACGTGCTAGTGTTAGCCCTGACCGACCTCAGCCAACCTTTTGAAATGGAGACAGATGCTTCAGAGTATGGGCTAGGAGCTATACTTATGCAGGACCAGAGACGAGTGGATTATTTCAGTCAGGTGTTGACTGTCAGGGCGAGGCTCAAGTCAGTCTATGAGAGGGAGCTGATGGCAATTGTACTAGCCATACAAAAGTGGTGACCGTACCTGTTGGGGCTACACTTCATTGTCAGGACTGATCAAAGAAGCTTAAAGTTTCTTCGGGAGCAAAGGATAATTATAGAGGAGCATCAAAGGTGGCTTTCGAAATGTCTGGGTTATGATTTCGAGATCCAATATTGACCAAAGATAGAGACCAAGGCCGCATATGGGTTATCCAAGTGTATGAGGGAGCCTCACATGATGGGACTGTTTGTTCCCTTAGTTGTGGACTAGGAGGCATTGAGAAGAAAAGTCAGCAAGATGAACGATGAGAGAAAATCATGAGAGATTTATTGGGGAACAAGGATAGCCATCCAGGCTATACCTTCATCAATCAGAGACTGTTATACCAAGGGCGAATGATGATACCGAGGACATTGCCATTTGTACCCCACTCGATGCATGAGTTTCACGGTAGTGCCATAGGAGGGCACTCAGGGGTACATAAGACTTATCGTAGGCAGGTAGTAGAATTGTATTGGGTTGGAATGCAGAAATATATGGAGGAGATGGTGGCCAACTACGATATATGTTAGAGGTACAAATATATGACAATGGCTCTTGGAGGACTTCTGCAACCTCTAGCTCTGTCTGAGAAATTGTGGGAAGAGAATCATGAATTTCATTGAAGATCTGCCAAAATCGGAGGGGTTTTCGGTGATTTTGGTAATAGTGGATAGGTTGAGCAAAAATGCTCACTTCATTTTCCTGCGACACCCATAAACCACGATTTCAATGGCAGCAATATTTATTCGAGAGGTGGTTCGCCTACATGGAATTTTGAAGTCCATAATGTCAGATAGAGACAAGGTATTCCTTAGCCACTTCTGAAGAGAATTATTCAGGATGCAGGGGACCATTTTGAAGAGAAGTATAACATACCATCCACATAATGAAGGGAAAACTAAGGTGGTGAATAGATATGTGAAGACTTATTTGAGATGTTTTGTATCAGAAACACCCAAGACTTGGGTGAAGTGGTTACCTTGAGCCGAGTACTAATACAATACATCCTACTATAGTGCAACACATTACACCCTTCAAAGTCCTTTATGGCAGAGACCCTCCTCACCTGATATACGGGACCAACATCACTCCAGTTTCATTAGTGGAACAACAATTAGAGGAACATAATATGATATTGGGAGAGCTAACGGGGCACCTATTGAGGGCACAACAAATTATGAAAGCTAACGGGCATAGAAGGGATGTGTAGCTTGAGGTGAGTAATAAGGTGTATTTGAAGATTAGACCTTACAGACAAAAGATATGAAAAGTTATCTCCACAATACTATGGGCCTTATGAGGTTGTGGAGAGGATTGCTGTCGTGGTGTATCATTTGCAGCTATCCCCTACTTCCAACATACACCCAGTATTCCATGTGTCCCAGCTGAGGAAAGTTATTGACGACCAAAGTCCATCAGTAATGCTGTCGATGTCCTTGACAAAAGAAATCATAGAGCCAATGGAAGTGAGATGGGTTCGCTCGACAATCGGAGGAGCTACAGAAGTGCTAGGATCTGTCCGACTATGACTTAACATGAGAACCACACCAGATGATTCAACGGTAGTTTTCTTCGTCCACCTTGAGGACAAGGTGGCTCCTTTGGGAGGGGAGTATTGATGGACCGACTGAGCTGGTCTAGCTAATCAACCCGACCCCAGCAAGGGGGGCCGGTCTAATTGGCGGACAGAAGAGCCCTGTGGGCCCCACTAGTATGGGCGATGTGCAAGGAGAAAGGGGGGCTCAAAGGGGATTAATTCTACCTTTAATTACTTACCATAGAAAATCAAAATTGAGAGAGAATTAGGAAGGTTTATTTAGAGAAAGAGGGCAGATTTAAATTTAGATTTGGGAGGGAATTAGGAAGATTTATTTAAGGAAAGAGGACTGATTTGAATTCAGATTTGGGAGGAAATTATGGAGGTTTACTTAGGATTAATTGGGTTGTTTCATTTTCATTATGTGATTTTGTGTTTGGAGTAATTTTCTTTAAAGTTGTTTCTAGCGGTGCCTAGGATTTGTGGAGAGTCAATCTACCTCTCGAATAGTAGATTAACTTGTATCTTGGTTTATTGTGCCGATATCAATAAAATTAGCTCATAATCTCATTCTTTCTCGCTGATTTCGGTTGTGTTTTCTCTTCGTTATTGATTTTTTTTTCTTTTCTTTGTTGTGTGGAGATCGGATTCCTATCAAAATCTAAAAAAAGAATTACAAGTCAGAACTCAAAAATAAAAGTGGAAGAAAGGGTCCTATATTTAATCAGGGAAGGACTGAAGTCAATATATGAATGAAATAAAAGGATGACTTTCTAGAGCTATGTTACAATCACAAACACATGGCAAAAAGGGACATTGCATTAAGAAGAGATCATATTGATACCATACAGAATCAGTAAGCTCAACTGATACGAGGATATCAAGTAACAAGATATGCAGACCTCAAAATGTTTAGTTTATCCACAAAAATTACAACAGGCATAACCACTAAGCAAACATTCTACTCCAGACAGGTATTTCAATGCGATGCTAAGCTCATAAAAAACCTCAATTAATAAAAAACTGAGCATTCAAAAGATCACAAACCCTTTTATAACTAGAGTCGAGAGCAATAGCAAGACTGCAATCTGCAATTGCATCTGCAATTTGGCCCAGAGCTTGGTATGCAGCAGCCCGGTTACAGAAACATATTGCTGTAAATGGACGAGATTCTGTATTCAATGCTAAAGCAGCAGTATAAAGTTCCACAGCTTCCAGATGCTTTCCTGCTTGAAATGCTTCATTGCCTGCAGTCTTCAGTACAAGATACACAAAGAAATCATTTTAGATAATTTTTTTAATGGAAGTAAGATCCATGGCATACAAAAACGGACAACTAAGGTAATTTATAAACAAGCACAAGACTTGAATGCCGTAGAAATTCTTTTTAAGAAACCATCAAGCATATAAAGAACTGCTACCTCAAAACATGTGATCTGCAATTGCATTAACAACTAAAAATGGAGCAATTCCCAGAATAAATAACTGCTCTCAGAGGAACCGCATTAGATTTGGAGTCACAACAAACAATAATCAGTCGAACCAACTTAAGAGACTGGAATGGTTTCAAATATCATCTAATTCATGACAAGAAGGCACCATCGCAAACTGCTTTCTATTTCACTTACACTGTTGCGCCGCATGATTTGCTAGTTTAAAGAAAATCTATGATATGATCTCACTCCTAGGTTTGTTCTTGCTAACTTTGTGCTACTTATCTGCCATGTGAGCACTGTTCATCACATAAATCTTCTAGTCTATTTACATTTCTTCATTGCCAATAAAAGCTGATTAAAATACAATTTATACAGCCTTTTGATATGGATAGAAGTCCAACTCACAAAAAATATAGTTCTATAAAAAAAAAATCTAACAATGTGTATTGATCTTAGCTATGACAAACCGCTTTAATTCCACTGATCCATTACGATAAGGTTCCGCATCTGCCTTATGAAAAGCCGTTCACTGACTTTTTGGTTAAATCCAAATAATGTACAATGGAAGTTACGGAGGCAGTAAAAATTTGTACTTCTCTGCTAGATACAGTAGTAAGATTAGTTACTGAACTCAAAAAATCAAATACAAGAGTTATTATGAATGATAATAACAAATAATCAAAGATTTACATTCGTGAGTTTCTTGCAACAAAAAATTGAAGCATCTTCAACAATCTAAATACAGTTCTAATATATATAATTTTATCAACTCTAATTGCTATAAAAAATAGTTAATTTCCATGTAATTGGTTGTGCAATACAGCATCACTTACTGTTTTTTTTTTCTCTACTTAAGTTAAAACTAAAATAAATTCACCAAGAAGTAAAATAACAACCATCAATACAAAATGGAGAAAGAAGAATAGAGAGAGCAACAACAAGAAACCTTTAACCCACTATGTGGGATCAGCTATATGAACCAGTTTTCTCCTTTGTGCCATTAAGAGTCTAATTCTTATTTAAATCTAATGAAAAAAAAAGTCATTTTTATTGCTTTCTAATCAAATCTTTTTGGTTCTACCTCTACCTTTCTTAACATAGGCCGGATCTAATACATCTACTCTCCTAATAGGGTCATTGGAAGGTCGACGTTTTATATCACCAAATCATCTAAGGTGACTCTCGCAAATCTTATACGCCACTGGAACTACTACAACTTTTTCACATATATGATCATTTCTCATTTTGTTTCTAAGTGTAAAGCCACTCATCTAGCTAAGCATCCTCATCTCTACAATGCTTAACTTAGTTTTATTCTTCTCTTTTAATGGTCAACAAAAAAAAAGATGTAATGATGAAAATATAATTACCTTTAGGTGTAGAAGCTCGCATACAGTGGCAGGAAATGTGGAAGATTCTGGATACTTGTTCCAAAATCTAAGAAGCAAATAATAGCATTAAGGAAAAAAAAGAAGAGAAATATATATATATATATAAATAGATAATGCATCTGGGCTCAGGTAATACTTGTCTATGACAGGTTTCACTTTCTCGTGTTTCTGAAGTAGCTCATTAGCCTCCTCGAGTTTTCCTAAATAAAAATAGGACTTCGAGATGACGCGCCATCGCCAAAAACTTGAATTGGCTTCCATGGACTTGGAACAATCGGTTTCCTTTGACTGACAAGCAGTTTCAGTAATACTAGCATTCTTTTCAGCAAACTCCAGTGTCTGTTCACATATCCGAATCGCTTCATCAAAGTTCCGCAGCTGTCAGATTGCCACACTATAATCAGATTCCCACACTAAGGCTTGGTGAAACAGAATTAGGGCCATCTATTTAGCAAAACCATCAATATAATTCATAACTTCCAAAGCTTTTGGTATCAATCACTAAAGCTTGTGTAGATGACTGAAGATTTAAAAAAGGATTAACTTTAAGTTACGATAAATCACAGAATAGTGTAAAAACGTAACAGACCTTCACTAGAGCCTCAGCTTTCATTTCTAACAAGATTTCTGAATAAGGAGCAATGGAGAATGCCTCAGAGATAATCTCCAAAACTTTCGTTGCATCATCTGGAGTTCTTTTTGTCAATAATGTAGAAGACTGATTTATTAAATCATTCAACTTCTGCCGCAAGAAATAATACCAGAAAACATCAATTCTACTAAAATAGAACAAAACATGACATTTTTCTTGTATAGAGGAATGTACAAAATGTGTGATAAAATCAACTCTCGATATTAAATGGTTTAAATTTTGGGTGAGTCCATAACTCTAAAATGCATACCACATGAACAATCTATTCTATCCATAGTCCACAACGGTGAATGCACATCATAAATGTCATGACACAACATAAATCATTTGAAAACTGTTAGACCGGTCCACTGGACCGGTCCAGCCGGTCCACGGGACCGGCTCAGACGCGAAATGTCGCGTGTCACATAAAAATGAAGAATGCACTAATAATTCAGTAAGTATATCATAAAATATGCACTTGATCCAATAAATTAGAGCAAATGACACTCATAATCAATTAATAGGTTATGAAAAATAACAAATTAGATTCAATTCATCTAAATAAAAAAAGGGGGATTTACATACATACCACTTTATTTTATGCTATTTATATATCTAATACCTAAAATTTTAATATTACATGCCTATCACCCATAGAAGAAATATGGCCGCATGGAATGAAACATTAAAGTTTATAGGGTGATAAGAATGAAATATAGAAGTGATATATTTGATATTAAAATTTTATGTGAGTGGCAAGAATGAAATATAGAAGTGATATATTTGATATTAAAATTTTATGTGAGTGGCAAGAATGTAATATTAATATTTTGGGTGTTAGATATGTAAATAGTAAGAAATAAAGTGGTATGTATGTAAATCCCCTAAAAAATACTAAATTGCAAATTCATACAGATTAATTATGAAAAATCATGATAGATACTATAGGGGCAAATGCACCTACGGTTAACTCCCTCAAAAAGCTACAGCATGCCACGTGAACCTTACCAATTCATCATACAATCTAGATGGCCTGCTCCAACATCAATGCAAAGATTCTCCTAGCCGGCCCATTAGTGAACCCATTTCTTGCCAAAAAAAGGCTTCCCTAATTACTCCAGCTGCCATGCCTTTCAGCTGGCTCCACATGCCATCCAACTCTACATGCAAAAAACTCCATGTTCAAGTTTCAACCCTACGCATGCAAAACATTCAGTAACCCCAGTCACCCCTCAATCTCTCTTACTTCACACTTCTTTTCTTGAACACACCTGCTCACCCACCTCAATTATGTTTTGGCTCGCATGCAGTACCAATGATCACATTGTCCCCTACAAAAACACACCGCTACTTGTCACCCGCTGCTCTCAAGCTCCATCTTGAGCTCCTTGCTAGAGGTGAGCTCCCTTCACCCCCTTCACTCTCTCTATCCCTCTCTGATCCTCTTTCAGAACTCCAACACTCTCTATGTCCCTCTTTGGCTTTCTATCTCAACTTACCTCTCTTTTCTCCCTCACTAGGAGTGTAAATGCATTCTCTCGAGCCGAGGTTGAGTCACCCCTACTTTGAGCTTGAGCTTGATTAATTAATCGAGTTCGAGCTTAAACTCGAGTTTTATTCTACGAGTTTGAGCCAGCTTGTTTACTATGAAAGAGATAAAATTGATTATGATTTAAGTAATCATTATAATAAAATGGTAAAAAGAATGAGAAGTTAAAAGAAAAATAATAAAGAATAACTTAATATAAGGAAATAAGATATAAATTTTAAACATTTTTAATAATTTTGTACTTAAAATCTTGAATGCTAATATATTTTAAGTACATGATATATTAATATTTTAAAACAATCTGGCTCGCGAGCTAAAGAGTCGAGTCGAGACTAGCTCAAGCTTAACTCGTTAGTTCATCGATCTCGCTCACGAGCCATTTATCAAGCTGAGCCTGAGCCGGCTCACGAGCGGCTTGACTCACTTGAACCCCTATCCCTCACCATCACACTCTTTTTTGTACCCCTTCATTTATCCTCCCCACTCAACCCTCCCTCTCTCTCTCTCTCTCCCCATTATTGATGTGATGGGGTGGAATTCATGTCACAGTGCCCCATGCATTTTTGGTCTGCTTTTGCTACCTCTTGAGGGGGTGACATAGGAGCGCTACCAAGATTTCTAACAAATTTTAGCACTAATTTTACGAAATGAGGGCTCACGGTGGAGTAGAATTTACACAATTTCTACATTATGAGAGCTCGTGAAATGACCCAGGATTTAGCCATTAGGATTTATTTAAGCTCTCTTTTATGAAAAAAAATTATTTTATTTTAGCAATTAAAAGCTTAGTTTAGTAAGTTCTAGGTTAAATGAGAGTATTTAATAACTCACAAGATGACGCAAATGACGTGTGCCATAATTAAATAGCGCGTGCCATTTTGAAGATGTGCATCACACCATCATTATGGTGCAATTAGTGAGCCTCACTGCATCATGTGTCATTTTTTCCAATAACAACTATGGTTCATCAAATGCAAATATATATTCATCGATCATTCTCTTATAGAATTTAAATATGTCTAATTATAATTATCCCTTGAATTATTTTTTTGGCTAAAATTTTTCAAACTTCTATAACAGGAGGTTTATTCCTGTACTAACCATATTAAAATGGGGTTGAATCATGAAAATTAAAAGTGTTTCAAGTGAGCGGAATGGAAGGCATAATAGCAATAATGTCTACAAGCCTCCTAAAAATATTTTGTTGTTTGTCCCCATTATGAGAATTTCCTAACATGTCCCTACTTGGATTTGGCTTTACACCTCTCAATACCAGGTTATTAGAAAAAATAGTATAGAGAGAAAAATAGGTGGCAGTTTTCAACTAGCATGAAAAAGTTTCTTCTTAAAATTTTGTGGTTCGAATAAAAAAAAAAGCTGATGTCATAGTTATAATAAAAATTCAAAACCCGTCATGTTGCCACATTTAGTTGAAAGAGATGTTGGGATGGAGGTTTGTGATATGTGGTAAGGAATGGGTTTTTTTGTTAGAGTACATTACTTCACAGTTCACAATCACTATTCATGTTGTGAGTGTAACGAACAAATTAACCTCTCTTTAGTCGAGCAAAAAATTGATAAACAATTAAGGTGTAAGTCCATTGGATAACTTTCAGCTGTTCAACAGAAAAATAAAAAAGCTCAAATAATTTGGTATGCCATCTGGATTAAAGGCTTAATTCATTAAGATGTTCCCCTTTGACAATCATTGACGGGGTTTCATAAATTAATGTTGTGATTAGTGCTCCAACTCCTTTTTGTATGATAAGGACACGACATTAGAAGACAGCTTTTACGTACAAAGTGACCATTCACAGACCAACTAAAAGAACAATATACCTTTGTTTTTTCGAGGCCATCCACAGCCTCTAATAGAATTTTCTGGTCAGAATTTGTCTCCTTGCTTAATTGCAAAACCTTCTCAAAATGTTGCAGTGCAACTGCAGGCTCTCCAAGAGATAGATGGATACTGTGATAACAGAAAACCATTAAGATTTCTTGGTAAAATATATGCTGTAAAAATGAATGAAAAAGAGAGAGCTGATTTTCAGGATAAATCTTTTTTTTTTTTTCGTTTAAAGCATCATTTAAATAATTTTCTATAAGGGTAAAAAATAAACTTGCATGATGAACCTCATGCATGAGGTCTGGTGGAAGTACTACATAACTGAATGAATTGGCATTAATATTATACACCAAAGAATACAGTTCACATCAGTCTTTAAACAATGTTTTGAAATCCATATAGGACATTGAATCAATTTAACTACAAAGTTATGGGTTGGTTTGTTTGATCAATCAAATCAATTGGATGAAGTGGTCAGTCCATCAAACCAATCATATGGATAACTGCATCACAATTATATAACATATTTAAATATTAAAAGATGCTCATTATATATTTAAACATTATAATCTTAACATTTAAGAATAATATCTTATTAATTATATATTCAAACATTATAATATCCTCTACGTTTTATTTTAATTTTCTCTCAATGCCAATAAAGACACGATAAGATTCGACCACCTAAATCGGGTCACACAGGTTCACCGATTTTAAAAGGCCAGTAAGTATTATACAAATTCAATCAAATTGATAGCCAGACAACCAGTGTCTGATTCAATTGGCCAAACTAGAGGGTCTGAGTCAATTTTAAAAATATTTTTTAACAAATTTTCAAATATGACATAGCTCCTAAGGCGGTCATTAGCTAAATGTTGCATGATCTAGACATGCATATACCCTCATAATTTCATATATTTCCTGAACAAAATCCTTAAAGATATCCACTGACATCACCTGACCTTTATGCAAACCAAGTTGAGTAGATAAAAGTTCTTTGAATGTGCATTCCGATCTCTATAAAGCAACTAAAGTTAAACTCTACGCTGTGATCGTCTCAGTCATGACAAAATTTGAACTAGGTTTAGTAGACTGGAAAGGCTCCTTGACACTTCCTTGTATAAATCACCAATTATCACTGCCTAGGCTAAACATTGATAATTACTAATAAAGGATTATATATAGAAAAAAATGAAATTGAATAAAATTTAATCGGTATATTATATTATAATGATAACAACATCTATCTTTTTTTCTGCATCACTTGGGCCATGTATAATTGAGATCAAGATAATTTAATAACACAATCTTGAGGCATACGAGGGCTTTGGTTTAATCCCTCATAGGATATCTGAAAAATATTTTAGTGTTTAAATACTAAAATGTTGGCCCTCACTCATAGGATTAAGTTTTTGAGTTAAAAATTAATTTGACCACCGATGAATCTGGCCCAAATTTTCCACATGTGATTTACTCCCTAACAAGTTGTATAAAAAGTTAAAAACTAGGATAAGCTAAAATGGAGTGATTCACCCAATTTATATTTATAATGAATCTTTGCTGTCTTCTACTATAGATGAGAAAAGTTCAAAAGTGAGATACTTCTACAATGGATTCACATAGATGAGTGGACAAATTTCTGTTTGAAGGAGAGTAATGGCCGATGTGCTTCCACATTAGAGGAATAAAGTTAATGCACAATAGATTATTGGTTCAATCCCACATCAGATAATTAATGAATATATTGGTGTTAAAATACCTAGTGATCGACCCTCAATTGTAGGCTTAAACTTTTTGGGTTGAAAATGGATTTAACCACTGATATTTCTAGCTCAATTTTAATTCCCTTTGGTTAACCCCCAATAATACCATTAATAACCTTGAAGTTTCTTCAACCTAGAAAAGTATCCCCACTTGTACTTCAACCTTATTAAGCTGATCTACTTAGGCTATAGTTCGCATAATCATTATTCAAGTCAGTAATCATGGTATCACTGATCTAGTAGAAGCATGATGCTTTAGGATCAGTTTCAATAAACTTAATACTAATGTGGTTTGTGCCTAATACAGCGACAGAGAAAACAAAATGTTCAAGAGAGATACAATCTTCATCATTCCTTCAATGCTTTGAAGCTTTTAGTATATGAGTTCTTTGTTTAACTTCCACATTTTTAACATAAGCTCTGATCTCAAGAAAATAGAACTGCCAAAACATGTCTGGAAGTTAGCTTCTAAATTTGGGGTTCAGTTGTTTCAAGGCGGCCTAATCTTTTTAAAATCTACAATGATATATACTTTTATTTGGTAAAAGTATTCCAAGATAAAAATTGTTGCCCTTGTTATTCCATTATCAGCAAAGTTTAGCTAAAGTGTAAAATCTTGCTCTTTCTTCTTCAAACAAATTGACCTAAAAAATGTAAAAGAGCCCTTAACATCTTTATTAAGCTCTATGACAAGAAATTCCATAATATGGTCAAACCTGTTATCATTATATTTTGCACATACAACAACAACATCAAGCTTTTGTCCCACTACGTGGGGTCGGCTACATGAATCATTTTTCGTCATTGTGTCCTGTTAAAAGTCAAATGCTCATTTAAATCTAATAAAGAAAGATCATTTCTAATATTTTCTAATCAAGTCTTTTTAAGTCTACCTCTACCTTTCTCAACATAAGTCAAATCTAATACCTCAACTTTTCTAACCGGCTCATCAAAAAGCCTCCATTTAATGTGATCAAATTATCAAAGGCGACTCTCTCTAATCTTATCTTCCACTGGAGCTACTCCAACCTTTTCACGCATATACTCATTTCGTATCCTATCTCTAAGGGTAAAGCCACTCATCCACCTAAGCATCCTCATCTCTGCAACACTTAACTTAGTATTATGCTTCTCTTTTAATGGCCAACATTCGGCACCATAAAGCATTGCAGGTCTCACCACCATCTTATAGAATTTTCCCTTAAGTTTGAGGGGGGCTTTTCTATCGCACAACAAGCCCGATGCATTCCTCCACTTCAACCAACCAACTTGAATTATGCTGATAATATCCTCATCTATTTCACCATCACTCTGAACAATAGATTCAAGATATCTAAAACGTGTACTCTTATTAATAACTTGATCGCCCAAAGTCACAATCTCCTCACTAGGTCTATTGCAAGTAAAATTATACTCCATATATTCAGTTTTAGATCTACTCAAGCGAAAACCTTTAGACTCTAAGGTTGACCTCCATAATTCAAGTTTACCTTCAACTCCCTCTCTAGTCTTATCAACAAGAAGAATATCATTAGCAAAAAGTATACACCAAGGTACATCCTCTTGCAAATGTCTAGTGAGAACATCCATGACTAAAAAAATATGGACTTAAGGCTAATCCTTGATGTAATCCAACAGAAATAGGAAAAATACTTGGTCAAACCACCTTGTGTTTGAACACAAGTAATAACTCCTGCATACATATCTTTAATGATTTGAATATAAGTGTTATTAACTCCTTTCTTTTCAAGAACTCTCCATAGCACTTCTCTTGGAACTTTATCATATGCTTTCTCTAAATCAATAAATAGCATATGTAGATCTCCTTATTCTCTCTATATTTCTCCATCAAACCTCTCAATAAATGTATGGCTTCCATAGTAGACCTACCCGGCATGAATCCAAATTGATTTGAGAAACATTAGTATCACGCCGCAACCTAAGCTCCATAACTCGCCCCATAATTTTAAAGTATGATACATTAACTTAATTCATCTATAATTCGCACTCCTGTGCATCACCTTTATTCTTAAAAATAGGAATTAACACACTCATTCTCCAGTGATCTGGCATCTTTTTAATCTTCAAAACAGTATTAAAAAGTTTAGTAAGCCAAGAAATTCCTTCATCTCCTAAGCATTTTCACATCTCTATTGGAATATCATCAAGTCCAACAGCTTTTCCACACTTCATTTTTTTTAAAGCCTCTCTAACTTTGGTTTACTAATACGGCGATAAAAAAAAATCTTTATTTTCATTTAGGGTGCTAAAGTCAATCATATTTTCACATTCTTCATTAAAAAGTTTAGCAAAATATCTCATCCACCTTTATTGAATATTATCTTCTAAGAAAAGTAAGTTTTGATCTTCATCCTTAATACACTTCACTTGAACTAAATTCTAACTACTTCTATCTCTTTGTTTGGCTAACTTATACATATATCTTTCTCTCTCCTTAGTATCTAATCTATTATATAAATAATTAAAAGCTAAGCTTTTTGTATCGAAAATAGCTTTTTTAGATTCCTTACAAGCCTCTTTATAGCTTTCCCAATTATCAGAATTTTTACATCTAAACAAATTTTTATAACAAATCTTCTTATTTTATCTTTTCTTGCACATTTGGATTCCAACACCAACTATTTTTATTATTAGGAGCTTTTCCCTTCTAAACTCCAAGCACATCTTTGTAATATTCTTAATATCACTAACCACTTTTTCCCACATAATATTAGCATCCTCATGCACAGACAAAATCTTAAAATCTAAAATCTTATTCGCAAAAATACTTTTGTTAATGTTATTTAAATGTCCACATCTAATCCTAGAAAATTATTTAATTTATTTTTTTATTTTTTACCCCTTTATCTTAAAGTCCAATACACATAATGAGAATAAAACTATTGTTTGATTTCACCGATCTTTTCATAATGTAGCATTTGATAATAAAGATGAACTTAAACACATGTTAACGGCCTTGTAGAAACAGAAGAGCTGCTTCACATTGACATCAATAAGTGCAAGGTAAGAAAGGGCAGACTATACCTTCTCCAAGCATTTTATTTATGAACCTCACAACTATCTCTAGATTCTTTTTCGTCCTGTCATTTATTGTTATAATAAATGTGATGTCTTCTAAAGTGGACAGTAAAGAACCAGTAAAACACATGAAAGGCAACAATGCACATGACCTAAGCTGAGGCATACGTGTGTTAAGACGATCACAATTAAAAAAAAAAAAAAGAAACACAAATCACGTACTTCCCAGCCCTTACTCGGGCTCGAAGAAAGCTTGGATCAATTGCAACAGCAATCTTGCAGTCACCAAGTGCTTCCCTCAATCTTCCGAGAGACATTCGTGTAGCTGCGCGATTACTGTAACATAACATCAAGGCCCTACTGCAACTTCTAGAAATTTCCTTCAAAGAGAGAGAATCCACTCCACGACTATAGTATTCTTCAGCTTTAGATAGATTTCCATCTGCATAAGCCTGATTACCCCTGACCATAGAATGAAAATCTAGTAAATAATTATCTCACATAGTATAATAAATAAAGGCTTGGCGCAAATGGATGCTTTTAGCAAAGGTAAAAACAACATGAACAGTGTTACAAACTAGAAAGAATATGGAGAGAACCTAAGTCGCCACTTTTCGCAGGCTTCTTCTGCAGACTCCTGATTTTGTTTTGTACCATTAACTTTTGCTGCTCTTTCACCATCATCACAGCCATTTTGGTTGTGTTTGGGACTAGTAGGCGCATGAGCATTTGGAAAAAGAAACAAAGTACGATGTGAATCCTGACCACCTTTTGGCTTGCTTTTCCTTCGGTTGCATTTTGATGCTGTTGATGGTCCCTGAACAGATGATGTAACAGATGTAGCAGCAAACAGAAAATTGGATTGACCAACATCTTGTGAGCAAGAATTAAATGTAAATTCACTACCACCCTCATAAGTGGGCTGCTTGATGCTTGAGTCATAGCTGAATGATTCTGATTCCGTAGAAGAAGATTTTGCCTGGATAACAGACTCAACATTCTCATTTACGGCTTCAAAACTTCCTTTCCGGAGTCCAGAAGTCATTTCATCTGTAGAAGTAAAATGTCTGGCAGAAGGAACTCTAGAACAACAATCTGCTTCTTCATTATCTTGAAGAATTTCATTGGTATGAAAATGCACTGTTGCTGAGAATACTTCTCCCTCCTTTGTGTCTACAAAACCTGATTTCTTTGCATCAATTGATTCACATCTTGAATCAAAGTGGATGGATTCAGCGGATGCAAAAGGTACTTCTCTCGGGCACTGGTTAGATACTAGAGTCTCCTGATAAGGTGAGTAATCCATAGGTGAATCCCCACCAGCAGAATCTTGCCCTTGATTTTCCTCAGGACCCTTATCCACGGAAACAAACTGTTTATCCATGCTCGTGTGTATTGGAGTAGATTGCCTAGATTTACCTTTTTTATTCTTTGTCCGTACACCTTTAGAATCTTCTTTCTTCATACCAGAAGTCATTTTTTTATGTGGTTTAGTGAAGACATTCTCCTTGGTCAACAAACAAGGAGCTTGCTTTTGACTTCTAAACTCCATTGTTGGTGTTTCTGATCCTGTATGCATGCTGGTGAAACAGAAATGATTCACAGAAGTTTGGAAGCCAGGTAGTGGAGAAGGGAAGGATGTAGTATCTGCGCTGAGCCCACATGAGTTATGTGCCTGCAAAGGCGTGGCTCTTGAATCATAATCTTCTTTTCCTGAATGCGAAGTAAAGTTGGAAGCTGCATTGTTGTCATGATGTTTCCACATATTCCCTGCCTTACTTTTCAGAGAATCATCCTCATTGCCTGAGCTATTCAGATTTATATTCTTTATTTCATCGGGAAGTTCAGAAATTGAACTCTCATCAAAACTGAGGGTCGATGACTCGCCTGAATTAACATTTTTGCTCACATGGCTACCAAATATAAAAACAACAGGATTATCATTTCCATGTTCCTCACTACCTGAGCCCTGCAAATTTTGTTTTTTCAAATCTCCAGAAAACATAGAGCCGACGCCCACATCATGGCCTGAAGAAAAGGTCTGGCTGGATTGAGCAGGTTTCTTTAAACTGCTCTCATTACCTGTTTCACTATCTCCATTAACCCTACCAACAGAACTCTGCAAGTTCAACTTCTCCATTTTCTGAGGTAACTTTGATATTGAACTCTCATCAAAACTGAGGGCCGTTGATTTGCCTGCATTTGCATTTTTGCTCACATAGCTGCCAAATACAAAAACACCATGATTATCATTCCCATGTTCCTCATTACCCGAGCCCTGCAAATTTTGTTTTTTCAAATCTCCAGAAAACATAGAGCAGACGCCCACATCATGGCCTGAAGAAAAGGTCTGGCTGGATTGAGTAGGTTTCTTTAAACTGCTTTCATTACCCGTTTCACTATCTCCATGAACCCTACCAACAGAATCCTGTAAGTTCAGCTTCTCCATTTTCTGAGGTAACTTTGATATTGAACTCTCATCAAAACTGAGGGTCGTTGATTTGCCTGAATTTACATTTTTGCTCACATAGCTGCCAAATACAAAAACACCATGATTGTCATTCCAATGTTCCCCATTACTCGAGCTCTGCAAATTTTGTTTTTTCAACTCCCCCGGAAAAGTAGAGAATCCGCCCACATCATGACCTGCAGAAAAAGTTTGACTCAACTGAGCATGTTTCTTTAAATTGCTCTCAGTACCTGTTTCAGTATCGCCATGGACACCAACAGAACTCTGTAAGTTCAGCTTCTCCATTTTCTGCGGTAGCTTTGAGAATGAGCTGTCAAAAGACTCAAATGATGAACTCTTGCTTGAACAGCTGCTCTTATTTACACCACCCCCAAAAACAAAAACACCTTGGTCCTTGTTCCCATCCTCACCGTTCTCAGAAGTTTCAATCTTGAGCTTGCTTAGGTCTTCGGGTAACTTAGAAACTGAGGAAAATGAACTACCATTGGAGCACAAGGTTGAGGTCTGATCTATATTAAATTTTGTCTCCACAAAGCCTCCAAACAAATAAGCATTCGTGTTTGCCTTCTGATGGTCCACATTAACAGAATTCTCCTGATCATTCTTCCTGCTTCTGTCAGGTATTTCAATAAATAAGCCATCATCGGAAGCAAAAGAAAAATCCTTACTGGAATGGGTACTTTTCTTCTCTCCATTCCTGTGCACAAAAAAACCAGAATGCGGCATCCTACTTTTCTCCTTAACATTTTTGCTCGAGTTTAATTTATATGATGAATCGTTATCAGATCCCAATGACGAACTGTGACAAAAGTTACCATCGTTCTTGCCTTTGCTCCCAAAAACAAATGCATCCTTATCAGAAAACACATTACCTCCACCGATAGAGCAATCCGAACCACCCGCTGGTACTCCTGTTTCAACACTCACGGATTTAGCGGAGTTTGCACAGTCCAAGTTCTGCCCACTCGAGGTCTGCAAAGAACTGCTAAACCAGCTAGAAACTTTCCCCATTCCAGTCCCAAATACGAAAACTCCCTTGCCAATATCGCTGCTACCTCCGTTACAAATATCAAATGCAGTGCCCCCTTTAACAGAGCCCACCCCAATATTGCTCGAACTCGCATTCGATCCTGACGAACCAGCACTAAACATAAATCCTGTTCCAGAACTCGAATAATTTGATGCGTCTTGTACAAAGGGCTTCCATCCATAGAGCTGCTCCCGTAAAAACTGCGTTCCACTATCGTCTCCATGATCGAAAGGAGCCGCGTAAAGCATTTCCGACTTAGACGGGCCGAATCCAAGACCTGCGCCACTATCCGATGCAATGGTCGCAGGCATCTCCCGAGAAGTACCAGACCGCTTCCTATGCTTCCGGAAACGAGGAACCGAAAGCTTCTCCTTAGAAGCTGAAGCCCCTTGCCCTAGGTTCGATCGATTCATTGACAGAGTAGGATCGTGAATGCCGCTTGATCCAAAGTTGTGATGAGAAGAGGGTGAAGGGATTCCACCTGTAATGATGCTCTGGGATCCGTGAAGATTGGATTGAACCTTGGAAGAGGAGGAAGAAGCAGGTGACCGGAAATCTACCATAGCAGGTGACATTAGCGGTCCGAAGACATCAACATTCCCGCGGCCGGCGGCGGTTTTCCGGTGAATTGAAGCCCGGCGGTGGTGAAAATCGAAGCGGTTCGACGCGTCGATTTGTTCTCCAATTTGCGTTTGCTTGCCCTCCCTTCCTGGTGATGATCACTGCGTGGCTGCGTCGACGTCGGTTTTTCTTCTACATTCGCCGTGCGGTTTAAAAATGGGAATGTTATTTTTATATTTTATTCTTTTTGGGCTAATTGGTTTGAAAATAAAAAAAGAATGCTGAAGATCAAAAGTAAAATAAAATAGTGTGAAAAAGTTGAAGTGTATTTGAAATATTTTAAGTTATTTATATGAATATTGTTGTGTTTTAGAATATTCATGGCTGCAGATAAATATAAAGTTTAGTGTATTAACTTTGTATGAATATCCAATACAAAATCAGAAAAAATAGAGGGTGTAGCGCTCATAGGAGACATCAAAGTTTTTAATGGAAACCCCTTAAAATGAGAAAAATCATAGGATTTGACTCAATTTGAATGAATCCACTAATGTTTGCAGTTTATTACAAATGAGATCTTTCCTTGGAGAAAGACCTAGGTTTGATATAGCAAATATACATCATATAAAATGCATTATATAGTGGAAATTGGAAGAATCAATATTAACATGTTTATTTAGTCGATAGGATCATAGTCGGTGGGCGATGAAGGTCGGAAAGAACTTAGTTGGGTGGCGAAAGTCGGAATGATAGTAATCTTCGGGCAATGGAGGTCAAAAAGATCGTAGTCTAGCGATGGAGGTTAGAAGGATTGTAGTTGACGGACGATATTGGTCAGAAATACCGTTGTCTGCCTATGGAGGTCAGAAGAATTGTAGTCGGCAGGTGACAATGGTTAGAAAAATCATTTTCTGGCGACAGAGGTCAGAATGATTGTTGTCGGTGGATGACATTGGTTAGAAAGGCTATTGTTTGATGACAAAGGTTAGAAAGACTGTAGTCGGGGGCAATAGTGGTCAAAAATATAATTTTTTGGAGACGGATGTCGAAAGGACAATAGTCGACAAGCGACGGATGTTAGAAAGATCGTTGTATGATAACGAAAGTTGGAAGGATCATGATCGGCAGATGACAGCGGCCAGAAAGATCATTGTTAGTGATGGAGGTTAGAAGAACCATAGTCAGCGGGCGCTAGAAGTCGAAAAGACTGCTATCTGGCGATGGAGGTTGGAAGGATCGTAGTCTGCAGGCGATAGTGGTTAGGACTTAGGACTGTTGTTGGTTATGGAGGTTAGAAGGATAATAGTTGGTTGGTGACAGTTGTCAAAAAGACTGTTATATGACGACGGAGGTCGGAAGGACCATAGTTGGTGGCTAGGTGGAAATCTTGAGTCTGTCAGTGGCCGAGAAAAAGTTCGGCTTCAGTTGGTGGCCGGTTGTAAGTCTGTTGTCAGTTAGTGGCCAGGTAGAAGCCCTGTGTCAATTGGCGGTTGGGTGGAAGTCCAATGTCAGTTTCTCACTAGACAAAAGTTGGCGTCAATCGGCGACCGGGCAGAGGTCCAATGATAGTCCGACGATTGTCGGTGGTTTGATGCTGGTCGATGAGGAGTAAGGTGGAAAGAGAGCTCAAAATTTTCTCTTTTCTTTCTTTTCCTTGCTTCCCTCCTCTAATCCTCCTTTTTCAATGAAGAATGAGAGGTCATTTTATATTTTTTTTAGAGTGACATGGACAGTAAATAGGAGAAATATCAAGGGTAAGTTATGAGTGGTTTGAATGAACAACCGCTATTGATTTCCTTGATCGTGGACCATTTATTAAGCATTTGAATGTCTTAATGATATTAAAATTTGATGATTTTAGGCTCGTTGAATTTGTCTCATCGAGCCGCTCGATTCGATTATGAGCATGTCACGTTTGGAAACCATTTGGTCATCCAAATTTTGATTTGAACCTTCCAAATGCGCTTCAACTCTTTGATTTGGACCCATTTGGGCTCTGATTGAGTTGAATTGGTGTCACTGGGTTCGTCTTTTTGAGATGTTCAGTTCAACTATACGTTTGTTAAAATCGAAGTTCGGATAGTCCATGATTTAATTTTGGAAGTTTCCAACTTGATTTTGCTTTGAGATTCATGCCCAATCAAGATAAGTTTTTGAGGATATATCAAATATGAAGACTATATTTTTTATTAAAGTATAATGAATGTAATGTAAACTAAAATGATGGTGGAGATTCGATAGTTGACATCGATGGTGGCAGTAATGCAGTGGCTGACAGCGAAAAAAAAAAGTTCAATTATAATTGGATAGTTTAAAAAAAAAACTATGGGATGAAAAATACATTAACTAAAATTATACACTCAATTCTTTTTTCATCTAACGAAACACCTAAATTTAATTTTACAATGTATTTTGTTTACTTTATACTCAAATTTACCACTGATAAAGTGTTGATCCACATGTAGTGACTTGAATTTGTAAGTATATTTGATATTATTGATATTTTGAAAAAAAATATTTAAATCATGTTTATGTTTAAATGAGTTGAAAGAGGAGCTTATCACTTGAATTTAGAATGAAATATTCAAGTTGAGAGGTGCTCTTAAGGGTGTCGCAGCACTATAAAAGTGGCACTATGGCATTGCCCCTTTGTGTTTGTCAACGTAGTGGCACTATAAATGGGCGCTGCGGCATGGGAAATGTGGCACCGCGATGCTAGTTCAATATTTTATTCCATTTTCTCAGCCATTAAATACTCAAACCATTTTATTTTCCTCATTTTTATCGGGAGAGAAGCCAACTTTTATTACTTCCGGTGTAAGGACGTAGAGGAACGTCCGGTTGGAGGCAAAATCAGGCAAAAAAAGTCGGTATTTACTTGGTACAACTAGGTATTATTTGTTATTAACAAGAAATACACTCTTTGAAGACCAATACCGAGTTATACCGAGTTGTACCGAGAAATACCGAGTTGTACCGAGCCGAGTTGTACCGAGTTTTTCTAGGAAAAACTCGGTACAACTTTTGTATAACTCGGTATTTCTCGATTTAGCTCGGTATAACTCGGTATTGGGTCTTCAAATGATGGTATTCCTCATTATTCTTTGGTATTGCTCGGTATTTGCTCGGTATAACTCATTTTTAGACAGGATTTGGCCTCGGACCGGACGTTCCTCTTGCGTCCGGTCAGATGACGTAATAATTGTTCGAGAGAAGCAAAGGTAAAACATACTTCCATAAACCCCAAACTTCAACAAACAAATATGGTAAAACCAAGAAAAAAAAATCAATCTCGAGCAGCAAACAAATAAGTATATTAAGGAAAAAAATAACCAAAAAATCAAAACTAAAAATAGTGGAACAAGAGGAAGATTGAAGAAGACGAACCGAAGTAGCCCCTCGGCTCACAATCTTCAGAGGCCCCAATTAGCCTGCAAAAAAAAAAAAAATGATTTCATTCAAAAGGAATAAGCAATAATCACAATGCAAAAAGAGAGGAGAAGAAAATTTTTATAAAACGTAGAACGAAATTACTTATCAATTCGCTGAATACTAACCACTATATATAAGTGTTAACTAGCGAACAAGAATATTAAACATGAAGTCTTAACCACCTGAGTCGTTGAATCTCTTACCTAAGAAACTTTCGAAGTTTTGCCACCATTAGGGATATTATCTAGGGCACACGAAGAAGATGGTTGTCCCGGTTGATGTGAGCGAATTTTATATTTGTTTATTTGCCACATGATTTGCTTTAAATATAATTCTTTTATCAAATATGTGTACATTAACATTATACCATCCCGAGGAATAGACTAATGTTTCACTTTTATATGAAAAAAGAAAACTTCATTTATATTCATAATCAAACATAACATAAGGAATATTCAATTCATCCCAAAGGAGAAAAATAATATTCACCTATCATTTTAATTAAGAAAATAAATTAATGAATTTATTTTTATGATCAAACTGAATAGGGAATATTCAGTTCATCCATAAGGATAAAAAGAATATTTACCTATCTTTTGATTCTGAAACTAAACTCATGTCTAAAGCTTAGGTCTGCATCCATAGATTTTTATCCTATTTTAGAAATGAACTAAGATATGATTATTTTAATTCAAGGTTCTTGACTTCTTATAAGGGCAAGCCTTTATAGTAAATTACATCTCAAAATAGGATGCTATCGATTAAAGTGAAGACTAGTATTTTCAAATTCATATAGATTTAAACAAAAGTTTGGGCTATCAAAATTTCAATGCACAGATTTTGGATTGTAAATTCTGAAGTTGATTTAGATTTCTTGGAAGGATAGAGCAAGAAAGATGTGCAGAGATTGAGGATGTATACAATTTGGACTTATACCTATCTAGAGTGAGTTGTAAGCTAACAATCCTAAGCACAAATAATCATCGTATGAATGAAGGATTTGATAAGCTTTGTCCTAGGAATCAATGAGTTATAATTTAGAAAATTTTATAAGAAGAAATCTACAACATATATATGATTGTGCAATGAAATGATATGCAAACAATAATGTATAAATAAAACTTTTATTCAATGATAATTTTTAGAGTACAACCCAGTATCTGCTATAAAGTAAATGTGATTAAGCTCCACCAATAACAAGCCTGAATTTCTATTTCTTTGAAAATAATAATCGTTAAAAGAAGAAGAAACATTTCCTTTTAGAACTTATATATGTATATAAACAAACATTTTTAAATCTCTTACAATTCTTGACACTGTATAACTCAATATAGCTATACAAATTCCTAAAATATTTATATTTACCATTATATTTATATCATTGCCTAAGTACATTCTACTTTTGCAGGAATATAAAGAGAAATATATAAAAATGCAATTATAGTATTGTGCGAGTGTATATAGGAAAGTAAAGCGGCCTAAGAGCCTACTCCAAATGTGCACCAACATAAAGTAAATATGACATCCAGAGTACAAAAAGTAAACATACCAAACATGAATACCCTCTATGCAAGGCACTCCCCAAGCAAACTAAACCAAACCACCACCTTAGCCTAAGCTAAAATTAGTTGTTATAGCAAATTATTTATAGTTTGTGAAAAATGTTGTGTGGTTTTGATATGTCAAAGGGGATTTATTGTGTAAGTTATTTTATTTGAAGGGCTTTGTTTATTACAGGTCAAATAGAATTTTTAATTTAA